AGCTACTAGTGCTCCTCTGAGGAAGAAAACTTCTGCTGTGTTAGGGCTCACCACAGGATGGGGTTTGCCTCTCAGTTTCACTCTCTGTCTGTATGACCTTGCAGTTTTACTTTCCTCAGGGAGCTATGTACATCCACACACCTCTAGTGAGTAAGCAGACTTGGGAGCAGGGATGAGAGGGCAAAACAATTGTCTGTGTTTCATCTAACTCCAGTGTATTTCTGAAGCAGAAAGACACCATGCTGCTGAGGTAAAAAAAAGCCTTAAGAAATCTTCTTACTGCCTTCATCCATTAGCCCAAGGGGGTAGAGGGATGGAGCCCAGGCTCTTCTCCAAGGACCATTAGGATATGACAAGAGGCAACAAGTGAAGTATGGAACAAATTACATCCATTACGAGGGAAAGCAAAGGTGATCAAGCATTGGAACAGAGGTCATGGGCTCTCTGACCTTCTAAGTATTTAAAACTTAACTGGAGAACATCATGTGTAACCAAGGCTGGACTAGAGACCTCCAGAGATCTTGCCAGACTTGAGCTAGTCTGAGACTATTGGTGGTGAAGCAAAGCTGGCTCCCACCATCACAGCAACTATGCCGCCTTCAAAAGTGACCCAGAACCCATGGCTTCTTCTGATGTCCTAATGCAGAGCCAGGGAAACCAGCTGCAGGTGGCACATGCCCAGAAGGAAAGTTTATCAGAGAAAGGTCAAGTTTCTCTGTGCCCAGGGCAGCAGAGTGGTCATTGCAATGGTACGCAGTCAGAGAGATAGGAACATCCCCATGTGTTCCCCACAAGGAAGGAGGGAGATAAATTCCTCCCCTGCTAAGGGCTCAGCTGAGCCACCCCAATGAGTCAAGGATTACTGTTCTGATTGCTTTTCTAAGCAAAGATTAATTTCAGTGTACATTTCAGATAATCCAGAATCACTCCTGAAGTGGCAGAAGTAATTTTAGATGAAGATTGGCAGGGGAGCGGAGAAAGCAAAGAAAGACTTTTGTTCAAGTGCAATGACCCTTCCTGGTCAGTCTGCTCTCAGGCTGGGCCACCACAACACATCCTTGTGGCCAGGAAATTCATCCCTGTGGTGCCATGAGTATCCTGCTACCCTGCACCATCAGCTCTTAGAAGTGTCAATACACTTTTTGCTGCCGTGCTCTGCACTGCACAAGTGATGGCGGCTGTTCCACTTATTTCTATAGCTCTTCCCCCAACACAAAAACCCTGGAATTCGCACTGCACAACTTATTTCTATAGCTATAGAAATAAGTTCCACTTATTTCTATAGCTCTTCCCCCAACACAAAAACCCTGGAATTTCTGTCACCTCGTGGCTGCTCTGCAGAAATGCCTTTGCCACATGAGTACACTGAAATACTTATGTATCTACAGTCCCATGCAATTTAATTACTTGGAAGATTACGGCATTTACATAAAACTTGGCTAGTTTTACAGCTAAGCTGATTAATTTAATTAATAACTGTCACCTGGAGTGGACCTAAAAACCAAAATAAAGCCATCTGCCCATAAAAAAGAAACAGTCACAGAAACACAGCATGGCAGAGGTTGAAAGGGATCTCCGGGGTTCATCTGGTCCAACCTCATCACTCCAGCGCATTGCTCAGGTCCATGTCCGGACAGCGTATGAGTATCTCCAAGGATGGAGGCTCTACCACACCCCTGGGCAACCTGGGCCAGTGCCTGGTCACCCTCACAGTTTCTGGATGTTCAGAGGGAACTGCCCATTTCAGTACAAAAAAGTGTCCTTTGCCTCTGGTCTTGTTACTGGGATAAGAAGGACTGGAATTTGCCACTGGAATGAGCCTGGCTCCATCCTTTGTGCACCCTCCCTGCAGGTATTCAATTCTACACATTGAAAAGATCCCCCTGAACCTTCTCGTCTCCAGGAGGAACAGTCCCAGCTCTTTCAGCCTCTCCTCACAAAAAAGATGCTCTGACTCCTTCATCATCTTTATGAGCCTTTGCTGGACTCTCCAGTAGCTCCATCTCTTTTTGCACAGTGGAGAGCTCAGAACTCAACCCAAAACTCCAGGTGGGGCCTCCCTGGGGCTGAGTAGAGGGGAGGGATAATCTCTCTTGACCTTCTGGCAACATTCACACATTCACATCAATGACATGATACTTTGTCATAGCACATTAAAAAAAAAAGAAGTACCAACCTCCCCCCACACCTGCTCCCAAACAAATGGGCAATATTTTTATAAATTTCAACACAGAAAAATACTCAGAAAAGATGCTGTCAGCATTTCCAGTAATTCCACGCTCTGCCATTCTCTGAGTACAGAGCATAATTTGGGGTTTTTTGGGCAGAGTGAAGAGTATCAGGATTTTTTAATTTCTCATTTCTGAGATCTCAGAAGGGATCAACAGGCTTGGCAGGTACTGAGTTTTTGCCTTTTAAACTCTCTCTAATAATCACACAGGTCAATTTCTTCTTTTTTTCCCCCTTGTGCAAGGCTGGATTTGTTTCAGATCTAGCTTCCCTTACGGGTTCCCTTTTTTACATTTGCCATGTGAGTAACAACCTATGCCTAAATTAATCTCCCCAAAGTGAATAATCACACAGGTCAATTACTTTTTTTTTTTTCCCCCTTGTGCAAAGCTGGATTTGTTTCAGATCTAGTTTCCCTTATGGGTTCCCTTTTTTACATTTGCCATGTGAGTAACAACCTATGCCTAAATTAATCTCCCCAAAGTGCTTTTGGGATACATTTAGTGCTTTTGGGATACAATTAGTGCTTTTAGGATGCTGCCTTCCTCCTGTCCCCACTCACACAGAGCCTGGTGTCCATCTCCCCCTGTGCCAGAGGTCACTCCTGGAGGTAAGGACACTGCCTCTGAGGTGAAGGGCCAGCAGTGCCGTGTAACCTCAAGCACACGGAGGTTTGTGAAACACGACCGAGATAAAGATCATCACCAATGAACACCCAAAGAGAAGCAGAGAGGAAATCAAGGGCTGCACCTCTCTGCTCTGCTCAGGGCCGAGCAGAGATAGAATAAAAGGGAGAAGGGCGCTGCTATCAGCAAAACAGTGGGCTGAGAACAAGCGTTTGATGCTCAGTCATACTAACATCCTGCTTAAAATAACACTGACGTGGAAGGAGCGGAAAGGAGCTCCCAGAGCTGGGCTCGGTTCGGGGCATTCCCGCCCCACGCCCGCTCTCCCCACACGCGGCAGCCCCGCCGCGCTCCCCGCGCTGTTTACGTCGGCACCGCGCCTCAGTCAGCCCCGCAAGGCCGGGCTCCCCCGGGCTGAGTCACGGCTCCGCCCGCCGAGACCGCCCCCCCTTCCCTGCAAATCCAGGGCAGCTCCTGGGAGCGCCGGAGGAAGAAGCAGCGCGCTCCTTCCCCTCCACCGCCGCAAGCCCCGGCGCCCAGCACCGCCTGCTGCCTCCTTACCGGGCCGCCGGCCGCCTCGCCTCCCGGGCCCAGCGCCAGCTTCGCCGCGGCGGCCGCCACCGCCCCCAGGGCGCAGCGCCAGCGCCGCCCCGCGCGGGCGGGCCCCGGGCGGGCAGCGAGGGAAGGACGCGTGGGCAGAGCTCGCTGATGTGCGAAGGCTTCATCGACACAAACGGGGAAGCACGGGGCTGTGCGACAACGGCCATGTACGGCACAGAAAAAGGGCAGAAACCTGTGCCAACGTGAAGATCGTCCACAAACAGACAGGAAAGAAATACTCGTAAACTAGAACGTGGCTGTCACAAATAAAAGCATCCTTGATGAATGCCTCTTGGCCTGTCTGCTCCTCAGCCGTGCTAGTCCTGACCTCTATGCACACCCCAACACATCTTCCCTTTGTGAAAAATGCATATTTTAGCATTGGCTTTTTGCAAATATTAAAATGAATATTGAATGTGTTATGTTAGAAAGTTATGCTGTATTAATTTCCTTAAATAGTGTGTTAAATATAGTTTTAGGCTATAACAATGTTAAAATATGCTATGTAATGTTAAAGTGTGCTATGTATGATATTTTTTTAAAAGAAAGGACTCGCACCAGATAGCAGCCACAGGACACCTAAATCTTTCAGAGAAAGAGGATTTATTGCTCCCTTATCAGCAGAACACTAACTTGCCTCACTCAGACACGAAGACGAAGACGGCATTAGGATTCAGAGGAAGAAGCTGACGATGACCAGACAAAGTCCTGTGTTTGAATTGAATTTATGCATGATGTATGAGGTGTGTGAATATGCAACAGGTGATTGTTTTTAAGGGTCATTTTTTCTGGCTTGTGTTGCCCAGAAAAAAGGTACCCCGACATCCATAGCTCTTTGTTTTTATTGTCTCATATTGTCATAATCTCAATTGTTCAAATTTTATTACTCTAATTATATTACTATTGTTATAACCATTTTATATTGTTATATTGTTATATATTATTGTTATATTGTTATAACCATTTTATTATGATTTAACTTTTAAAAACAAGCTTTTCACACCTTTAATGTCAGCTTTTTATTTCTCCACATCACATTTCAAGTGGAAACAAATCTGCAGCTTAAAATAGGTAAGGTGGTGGAAATTCTTCTTTCCCATAGCCAAATAATGTAGTAAATCATTAGATATATTCTACCATTTACCAGACACATCTTTCCTCTTTATTCCCTTTTGCCCCAGTGGTTGTGGTCAAAACTAGGATTGCATAAATTAGCCAGAAAACAGAGCAATAGGAGTAGAGGCAATAAAAAACCTCTACTTGGATATTGCTGTAGAAATCAACATTTTGTGTTCCACTAATAAGCATTTCAGTTATTTACAATAAATCTTCAAGTGTGATTAAATGAACTTATGCTGTACTCCTATAAAATGTTCTGCATATTTTCACATCTTCTTTGCTAACATTTTTCACTTCTTTGACAACAAAATGGTTGCAAAAACCTCAGAATTTCCTACAGTGCTAATACAGAGCTTTAAGTCTATACTAACAGAAAAAAATGTTTGAAAAGCATTTTATTTTCAAATAAAGAAAAAACAGAAACAAAAAATGTATTTATAGTACTATTTACAAGCCTGTTACTAAATTCACATTTATGCTTTATTGACCAAAGTTTAATATGAAAATTATTTTTAAGCAACCCAGGAAAATCATTCTATGCTTAACTAAAGAAACAAACACAAAGAAATTGTGCTTTTTTAATTTTGGCTCTGATGGAAAATGTAGCATTTCAGAAGTGGCAGGATCCTGAATAAAAGTACAAAAGGAGACAAAAATCCAGGTGTTCCCAGGAAGAAAGCTTTTCCTTCTCAAGGTACAAAAGTTTCAAGGAAGCATCTACCCAGCATCTATACAAAATCAGGTTTTAAAAAAATTACAAAAAGATGTTAAAATTTCATTGAAAGCTGCCCACAGAGCTGGAATAACAATCTTCACTTAAGAGTTATTACCAGCAAAAAATCTAAAGACTAGAATACTTGATTATTCCAGAACCACAGCAAAAGTCAAATTTGACAACTGACTTTTGCTTATTCTGTACACTTTAAAAATATGGCTCTGCAGTTTTATTTGTCACTACCGCTGATTATGTCTACAAACGTCACATTTTTTTGATTCTTTCAAAAAAGTGTTTTCAACTCGTAGTTTTTCAGTCTCCTGTAAAACAGAGAAAAAACATGAGTATATTAAGGAAATTATCCTCATTTTCTTTTTTTTGTATTTTTACAAAAGCAGTATCTACAGTTGTTCAAGTGTTTTATGCACTATATACTTGAGGAAGTAAAATGGAGACCAAAGTTATCTCTGTTCCTCTCCAACAGAAGAGCAGAAATTTTAGTCTTCATGCTCAAAGCTTACTTAGTTCTTTGCTGTGTCAGGCCATTACTCCATCTGTAATCTACTCTGAAACTTACCTCTGTAAGTTTAGCATAGTCTTTCTTCAGTTTCACAAGATACTGAATCTTCTGGTTTAGGTTTTGATGACCAAGTAATTTCCCATTCTCCTCAGCAAGCGAGTGAACTTGCTTCCTCAGCAATTTCATTTCCTGTAATAATAAATACATTGTGTACCTCTTAGCAGTAGCCTCTCTTTTCAGAAGCAATAGCTTCTTAGAGCTAACATACTAACATTCAAGTTTGTTGTGAAGTATGATGCAAGAGTTGCTTCACTCTGCAAATAGGTTTGTCTTATGTTTCCTTAGACACTATGTTAGATCCCTCTAAAAGGCAAAAAAAAAGCACCATTTGATCTGTACCACTAAGTCATTTCTGTATCCAGACTTTCACTAGTGCACAGAACATCACAAATAAAGCCAAACTGCACAACAAACCAGCTGTACTTCTGCTAAATAAGATTCTTCTGTGAAGATGACAAAAATTATGTATATGTAACCTTTTCAGTCCTGTCTCTTTCTTCATATGCTTCCTCCAGTTTTGATCTAATTTCTTCTTTCTCATTAAATGCTTTGAGCTCCAAAGTCCTTGTTCGTTCCATCTCCAGAGTCATTTCATGACAGCTTTTCTCTTGGATTCTGAGGATATTTTTGGTCTCTTCTAATCTGCCAATATAAAAGAATCATAAAACATTAAAAACCAACAAAAATGTCATACAACTGAATTCCTCAGTCAGTCTTGGACATGGAGGGAGGCTCCTTTAAAAGCATTCTTTTGAGATATTGTATTTCCCTTAGAATTTAGTGCTAAAGAAAGGAAAAATTTCATTCTGCTTCACAGTTCTTGTGTTTGAGACTATCAACTAGGCAGTGTTTTGGAGCTGCTCTTCTCTTTGGGAACCGTGGTGTTTGCAATCCAGGATATACAACTCCACTCATGATTGAAAACAGAAGCTTCATCTACAAGAACACTTTGAATTAATTCACCTAAGGAATGCTAAACCCAGTGCTCTACAGGTTTCCCTTTATAAAATGCTTGTTTGTCTGTGGCTCTTTTTGAAAAAAAAATTCATTTTTCAAGCTGAACCACAGAAATTGAAACAAACAGCATAAAAACCACATAATTACATGATGTTTAAAATTATAAAATATTTGCAATATCAATAAAGAAATGAACAGTATTTTAATTCAATTTGAAAAGGAATGAGATTACAATTCACTGCAAATAAATAACTTTAAACAATTAAAAACATCCCTTCCAATTAAGTTTTTATGGTTCTACCCATTAAAGTATTGACCCGATATAATGCTATGTAGTAATAGGTGCTACTACCACCTACTGATGAGAAAGAGTAAGAACTCAAGGTATCTTGCAGAAGTGTAAATACATCCAAATTATGCCTTTTGTCATTTCAGGTCTTGGACTTCTATTGTTTAAATGTATCTTTTTTTCTGTCATTAATTAGTTTAATACTAGTTTCCAGTTCAAGGAACAATAGTTAGACTTACTCTGCTTTGATTTTCAGCATTTCTTCCACTGCTTTATTCTGGAAAAGTTCAAAAACATTAGATGCAGCCTTAACGTTTAATATACACATATATTTATGTTTAAAAATATGTCACTTAATTGATACTACATATCTCATTCCAGATCATCCTGCTACCTAGTAGTTCACATCTCTAATATTGGCTTTAAGTTCATCTCTTCGCTGTAGGCACTTATTTCCCATTTCATGCCATCACAGCTGACCCACAGCAGTGTCTCTCTGCCCACACACATACAGCACAGCTCTAATGGGTTTCTTCTGTCTGGGACATCCATGGAAACCTCTGCTGTGACTTTAACTTCCCTTTGACAGAGCTCTGACATTAGCAAGTGACACAATCTTCACTTTCCAACCCTGGGGATGAGTCAGATTTAGCAATCTGGATCTGTTTTTGCTAATTGTGCAATCTGACACTCAGTTCACTGGTGTCAGGCCAATATAGAAATCCTAAGAGCCAAGTCTCAGGCTGTGCCTGTTAGAATTCACTAGAAATTGGTGTTTGTTTTGAAAACAAAAAAAAAAAAATCAAAGCAAACCAACAAGTGCACAATAAAGTGGGGGGAAAAGGAGGAAGAGGGGATGTTTGGAGTGATGGTGTTTGTCTTCCCAAGTCACCGTTGTGTGTGATGGGGCCGTGCTCTCCTGGAGCTGGCTGAACACCTGCCTGCCCATGGGAAACAGCGAGTGAATCCCTCGGTTTGCTTTGCATGGACAGCTTTTGCTTTCTCTATTAAACTGCCTCGATCTCAGCCCAGGAGTTTCCTGGGTTTTGCTCTCCTGATTCTCTCCCTGATCCCACTGCTGGGGGAGTGAGTGAGTGGCTGTGTGGGGCCTGGCTGCTGGCTGGGGTTAAAGTACATCAGCACCTTTGAGATGAAGGTGCATATTTTATTATTTCACAGTGTTCATGTGAATGGAGACTGCACAAAGACTAGCTACAAGCCCACTGCTTAGTGGTCTTGCTAAGTTAAGGTAAAAGCTTATTGTATTCAAAAGACTTCACTAATCTTTATTTTGGTCATTTTTAATCAACATGACATTGGACAGAAATAAGAAAATACATACAACTAAAATAACTCACTTGTAGTGTGCCATATGGGAAAAAGTTAATTGGTTAAGAGTTTTATAAGTGCATCATATTACAATAAAACCACTGTTTTCAGTAACTTAATCTTGTGAATAGATCAGGTAGGTTACTGAACAATGATGGCATTTCTAAGGCTTTCTGCTTAAGTTTGCAAAAGTAGACATTTGAAATTGTGCTGTGAATTGAAACGGAAATCAGTCAAGCAACCATGGTTACATTGCCATGAAGCAATGGATTCTGTGGCTTTGCTTTTCACAGTTTATGTAGGTTTTCTAGACCGAATTTTTCCACAATAAAAGCATTACTTTTATGTTCCTCACTTGTTGGATTCCTGACTCGGGACTTCGGAATATAATTTGGATAAGTGCTAAGAATTCCCTGCTCCTTTTAGTTGACAGGAGTTGTGGTTTGAATAGACCAAAGGCTAATTGTACACCGGAGGCTTTAAAATTCATTTATGTCTATATTGAAACTTCTGTTGCATTTATTTGGACATTCCTTACCTATTGGATCCATAACTACACAAGCGACACAGTGATATATAATACCCAGGAATTACTATGCAGATAATGATTTTACATTGTTTCCATTCCTTCTATAAAACTTTGTTGCATTTAAGAACTGGTGATTTCAGGGTTATAAAGTTTACAAGCCAGTAAATAATCTTCATAGAAAAGCTTGAGTCAATCTCTAAACAGGCAAACAATGTAAGACTGTACTTCAAACAAAACCTGTAAATTTTATCTTAATTATTTCAAGTTAAGAGATTTTTTTGTGTTTTATTTTACTTTACCTGTTCTTGCTTGGTCTTTGAGCTTCTACAAGGCTCTGTAAACTCCTGTTGTTCTCCACCAATATCTGCATTTCCAGACGCAAGTTCTCCAACTCATTTAATTGTTCCTAAGCAAGTGAAATTCAAAACATTTTATTTGAAGACCAAATTGCAATACCTGTTTTCATTTCTAGTTGAACATGTTTTGAGTAAAATAGAAGACAAAAACTATTTCTCAGAAAACAGTCATGGTTCTCTGGCAAATATCTGCATCACCCTTCCATCTACAGTTGCATTAGAAACATTATTGAGAAATTGCATTAGAAACTTCATTGAGAACAGTTTCAGCAGCAAAAATGATGTTACCATTTGACATTCATGAACACAAAACAGCACAGTCCTTGGGAAAATGAGATTTATAGACATTGCATTGTCACCACTTGTTCCCAGCCTTGGCAAAGAGAAAACCAAAAACTGCCTTTCTGCTTTAAGGACATACTACTAAGAAGAGCCCACTAAAAAACCTGAACTCTGCAGTCTGTCTCATTTTGACCTTACAAGCTGCCAGCAGAGTACCCATAGTACCTTCAGCCTTAGAATTTCATCATTTTTTGCTCTTCGTTCTTCATTCAGTTCATGCACAAGGTGCTCCAGATTTATTGCAGAGGCCCTTCGATCAGCTATTTCTTGCTCATGAGTTTCCAAAAGCTTGGCCAAATTCACATCAAAATTAGGAGGAGTTTTAGGATACTGGCAAGTGAAAAAAACCAAACCACATAAACTATTAGTAAAGGACTGTTTTACCTGTGTATTGATTACATATTTTAATATTTCATTGGAGACATAAATTAATAAATTTCTGGCAGACAATCATCAATATTACAAACTATGTGAAGATGTTTCTCTCAAATGCCATACCTGAGGAAATGAAGATGAGTCCACAAAGCAATCTATTTGCTTCATTTTCAGTTCATATTCACTTTTCCTGTTCTCCAGTTCCTCTGTCATTTTGTCTAACTGTTAGAAAACACAGGAAGAATTAAAGTAGCTTATAACACACATAAAATAGGAAACAAAATAGCACTCACATCTATATTTTGAGGAAGCTTAAGTACACCACAAGTTATTTTAGATTAACAAAGACTTCACTTACATAACTCATCTGTATTTAGTCACTGTTAAACTTTCAATAGTTGTATGCAACAAGCATTTTTAAAAGCATCTATCCATCTATCTACTACTTTGTAGTTCATCTGATTTTGTTCTTGTTAGTATTTGATTTTCTTGCCTTGCTAACACAATTTACCTTTCAAAGGGCGTGCTAACACAGAAGAAAGCTATTATGAACTTGGTTGGCAAACATTACTGGTCAAAACATGACTTGATACAAAGATTTTAGTGATATAGATTTGATCAGTTTCCCCAAGAGAATATGGTAACCTGACAAAAGAACTCCTCTTCCAAAAAATAACTTATTAGAGTCTTTGCCAACACAAATATATTACTTAGCACTGTGATAGTTGTGACAACTAGAGCTAAAATTAGAACAAAGGTTTAACATAGCTATTTAGTCTGCAGCAGCTCCAAACCACTGCATAATTTACAGAGCTCAACAGTTATCTGTATTGCATAATGATACCATTTGTGGATAAGTGTTAAGCAGAGGAAAAGGTAATCCCCTAGGTTACACTGCTGCTAACCTGAGGTTGCTCTGCTCTTACAGGTACTGATAATTTTACTCTGCTATCAAAGTACACATTTTTGTGACCTCTAGAAAACTGTTCCAAAACATTTTAAGTTACCTAATCTTTGTTCAGAAGTTTTTGAGCTACTACTTTCCTTTTACAAGAAGGAGCATTTCTCTTCACCAAGAGGACTATGTACCAGATGTTCTAAAATGACAAGTGAAACCTTTTTCAGAAGCTACAATTGACCACAGCTCCCTCTCAATGAGCTAACTGTGAATATTTCTTGGTTTTACCTGTTCCCTGAGTTCCTGGATTACAGCTTCTTTCTTTGCTATGTCCTCCTGTGCACACTGGAGCAATGCATGGTGTTTCTTAGAGGCCTCTGTCAGACTGGTCAGCTGTTCAGCAGTGTGACGCAATTCTTCACATAGAAGGTCCCTCTGTTTTAAGTCGTTGGATGTGTAAAAAAAAGAAATATTAAAGTTATTGCTCCAAGTCAGTTGTTTCAAGATGTTTTGTCATTGGTGCCGAGATTGCTTAGAGCTGTGAGATCTCCCTTTTCCTTCTACTTTTTCATCATGAATTGTAGCAAGCATTCATCTGTAAATTTATTTTAGTATATTTGCATATCCTTGGTCTTGGTTACAGAATAAAAATGAGAACTTTTCCCCAGCATGGTGACAATTAAGATTCTAGTGAAAGGCCTTTGGAATTCATCACTATTTTAAAATATAATATGTACTTTAAAAGAAACCAGAAAAGAATGTATAGATTTTAATCACACTGAAGTGATTACAGCTTTTTTTAGTGCACTGATATTCCAGAGATACCTTTGGGTTTATTTTAGGATCTATACTCCCACCCTATCTGATGGGGCATCATACCTAAGTAAGATATGTTAGCACATAAGGAGAAACTTCACCTAGTATTTTAAACGCAGATTAGTTCTTCTTGTCCAGTTAAGAAAGCATGAAGAAATTAGTAACTGAAGTATAAAGTAAAGGAGAAACACTATAATTTTATTGGGAGCCAGATATACCCAAGGATAACATTGAAACAGGAAGTGGCACTAAGTTAAAAAAAGCCAAAAGCCCCAAAGTGATCCATTTGCTAGACAACTCAGCTTTGGGTTTCAGAATGTCACTTTTAGATATGACTATTAATGAACATAGTCTGTTTATTTTAAAACAGATTTCCCTTATGTTTAGTGTCATTTGAGAAACACACACCTCCCTGGAAGACTTTATTGGTACTATCTGATTGGACTAGCAAATCTAATCAGATGATCTTGTAGAAGGTACATGTAAGGAGATGCTAGTATTTGTGACTGTTTGACATGTTCAATGAAATAATGGTGACAGCAGTAATAGAAAATACAGAGCTAAAGAAAGATACAATGTTAAAAAGCAAAACCACATTTGAATCAAATGTGTGCCCTAGATCTGTTTCCAGCAGGTGGAGCTTTTAGTTAAAATTATGAGCCAAGAAAAGACATTGCTGAATATAGTGCAGTGGGGGAAGAGACACTGTGGAACATAATATATTCTTCTAACTACTTTAATTTCTCAGCTGCATCATCTAAAGCTGCCATTAAATTCAGCTGATGATTCCTTAGTGGCCTTAACAAAATTAAACCAGGCTCTTAGCATAGGCTTTTATGAAGTAGCTTATAAAATATTTATGTCAAGTAACATGGTAATTTAACAGAATTTGTCAGGTATCTCATGAAAAATTCTTTTACGAACAGCTTAACTTGCTTTAGTTTGAACTAAAATGAGGTTAAGTTTTACACGAGCATTTTAAGCAAAACTACATCCAATTGGTCTGGTTGAACAAATAATCTTAATACACCAACATTAATGTTTTTACCTCAATGTTATCACTGATTTCTCTTCCTTCCAAGGCTTCCTTCAGCTCTTCAATCTTCTTTTCCTGATCCTCTATGATTCCCGTGCTTTCTTCTTTTGCAGCCAGAACAATATTATACTTGTACTACAAAAAGTATTCAAATTTAAAATATTTTAGAGAAACATGTTGTCAGGTAAAGTTGGCAAATAGAAGACAAATAAATGTACATCACAAATCTTATGATGACAACTGCATTTAGAAATTAGTATCAATGACTAAAACCAGAATGATATATTTTACTTGCTAAATTAATACAAACTGTTTATAGAGATTAGTTGTCAGAATGATATAAAAATATTATTAAAATGAATTAGCCACCACAATACATATTACCCTCTAAAACCATTATTAAAAAGATAGCCATATTTAGAAATCTGTATCACCAACATTTTTCTTCTATACAACCTTTGGCAGTCATAGTTCACACAATATATTACATAAAGCATTCTGCTGATTGATCTTAGCATTTTTCAAACCAGACCTATTTTAATAAAGCAGAGGCATCATATTTATTCATAGTTATTCAAACAGTTTTAGTTCTTCATACTTGTTTTCAGATGCAGAACATAGTAATACTAGCAACATAAAAATTCACTCCATCAAAAATGAATTTACAATTCAGCTTCAATTGCTGAGGTCTTAAATTGCCAATTTCTGAGAAAATCTAAATGTGACTGTCAGCTGAGTGGAGTTTACAGGATGTGAATAGGTCCCTTTAGAGACACAGCTTTTTACCCACCACATGGAGAGGGTTCACTTTTTGAGACAGCCTTAGGCATAAAATGTTCAGAAGATTTCAACATGTCAAAACAAAGAAGTTTCCTTCTAAAATACTGTAGCAAGTTACACTGTTTGAAACATGTGGTAAGACATAGCATTGCATCCCATATCTAAAGAACGATACCATGTCCTTCAAAATGACAGAACATACATTTATATCCTCAAGCTCTCTTGTCAGCCCATCTATAGACTCAGTTTTATGATTAATTGAAGACCTCAGCTCCTGGATCTGTCTCATCAAGTCCGTTACAACTTCCTGCAACATAAAAAAAAACTTGGTAAAATCCATATAATGTATAACTGGACTTTTTTGGTATATAATTTGTCCATCCCAAACTTTAATCAATCAGGTGAAAATGAGTCCTCAAACTGCACATATTAAAAAAAACCGGAAAATTTGTTGCTAAATCACTGGCTTTTGTTCTAAGCATTTAAAGAACTAAATAACCTGCAGTGTTCCTCAGAAGATAAGACTGGCCTGCTGATTTAGTCTTAGGCTGTAATGGGTTACTAATAGGAGAACAGAACTACTATAATTTAAGGGTACATTTGTTTCTAATGGAAAAAGGTATATTCAAGAAACACCACTGCACTGACAATACCAGGTGATTCTGACCCTATGCATGTCAGGTTTTTGGGTTTATGATGGAAAAAGCAACACTTACCATTGCATCATGCCAGGCAGTAAACCCCTAGTGCAAGTATATGTGCCTGTTTTATAGACACCACATATGCTTGCACTAGAGGAATCAGCTTTCATACTACAACAGTCTTTACATAAAGAAGTGCTTTGATTTTACTAATAAAGACAATGTGACATACAGTCACATTCTTACAACACCTTTCTTACCCTTTCCATCTGCCCATTACAACAAAGCCCTGACTGGAAGGCTTTATTAATCATCTGGGGAATTATGCATTGTTTAGGCATTGAATGTTTTGTCCAGTAGACAGTTTTACCTTTATTTTTTTTTTTGCTTAGCCTTCAGTCAACTTGTCTTTTCTCTGAATGCATACCAATTTCCTATCTCCCTACAAACTCCGTGCTAGGAAAAAGCAGGATTTATTTTACCTGTCTATATAGCCACGATTGCCTAAAAGCACAAAATTACTAAGCAGCGGTAAGGAACACTCTGGTCTTTCATCTCTACTACTGAACAGTTACCCACAGGACTGTGTATCAGTAACAGAAATAAGCCCAAACCTTATCTGTATCATTTGTCTTCTTCAAAGAAGCAATAGTCTCTTCAGCAGCAGCTAGCTCCTGTTCCAATGTCCTCAGTTTTGCTTCCTAAAGGAAATAATATTTGTGAAGGAATGTCTTCACTACCTTTGGTGTATTTTCTAAAGAACCAAGTCGTGAAAAAGAAAAGAAGGTAAGTTGTTAACCTTATCTAAAAAATTAACCAGTAGCTTAACAAAAGAATACGTAGCCTGAGCACTCAACATTTATTTTGCTGGTAATCAACCTAACATTCAGTACACCAATAAAATTGTTATTAATGCCCAAGAAAAGCCATGAACACACAATTCACATATTTAAATCTGCTGTTGTACCTGCTGCTCACACTGTGTCACCAATTCTGAAACTGGTTTCTCCACCTGTCCTTTTTCAGGTACTTTCAAGAGCTCCCTGGTAAAAATAAAAACATGTTTTGATTACATTTCTCACTAGAAATGTAAGAGAACTTTAACAAGAACAAAGTGACATGAGTTTATTTTATTTGCACTTAATTTTTTTAAGTTCTTCAGTTATCTCCTTTTCAGTGCTATACAAAAGACTAATACTTTAGTTACTAGCCTTGCACTACTATCAATGATAGAATTTTATCTTTGACATGAAAAACTATACAATGAAATTACTTTAAATAAAAATGAATTGCTGTTCTGATTTGGATGAAATAAAAAACCCACATGGAGAAAAACACCTCTACAAATGGGACTCCCATCTGAATACAACATATAGCACCAATGAGGTCAGATGAAAATAAACCCCACTGCTAATTAAAACTTACTTTGAATTGTTTTCTTTGTCTTCTTGTAATTGTAATGTTAGTTTTTCATTATGTTCTTTTTCTGTTTTCAGAAGCTGCAAAAGGTTCTAGAATATCAAAATATGTGTTTGCTTTAGAGACCTTATATTGTAACTTCTTATAGCAATCTAAAACAAAATAAAAATCTAAACAAATCCTTAAGATGATTGAAAAAACTCAACCACCCCAGAAAACCTTAACTGGAAACTGGAAGATCTTTAGTTTGTGCTGAAGATGTTCAAAAGTAAACTCTTATTTATATTAAGTAATTAGATCTTTTCACCTGCCATTATAGTTTCATATAACTATGATGCTCCTCAATATCCAAGGCTGTGAAGGGAAAAATTAGAATTTTTAATTGTAGATTAATTTGGGGGTATTTTTAAATTCTGTATTTGTCCAAAATATTGAAATATACAGAATTTAAACCAATAATATTCAATCTGTCAGCATTCTCTTAAACACTAACAAGGAAAATTTATATCAAACCTGCCAAGCAGGCACCACATACCCTGCAGAAACACAGGCAAAATTATTTGCAAAATCCCTTGAGCAACCTTGCTGCTGTTTTGCAGTCACTGCAGTCTGACAGGCTTTCAAGGACAGCATCAAATAAATTGCAGGACAGTGATCCACCACAAGCCATAGATCATTTTAACAAGATCACATCCACTATGAAAATTTTTAAGAAACTGCTTTGTAAAGATAGAATAATTAGGCTAGTCTTGGCTAGTCCCAAGATAAAAGATCATCTCAGCATTTCAACGTCAAGATTCTTTTCCAAAGAAGCTTCTTATTCCTTTAGTAATTAACCCATCTCCCTCAGCATTTCCAGAGCAATTTCTTCAGCCTAAAAACTTACTATTCATGATGCTACTCTGATAGCCTGTGGTTGCAAAAATCTTGCACCAAGTTTGGAAAAATAATTTGGGTACATCTTCCAAATGAAATTGCTAAGAAACCTATTACTACCGTGAAATGTTATCAGTAATAGTAATAGGCAAATAATAGAAATTTGGCAATCTGGGTTCTACATAATCAAGTCCTTTAGAATCCTTGAATGTCTTACGCTTAGCTCAGTTTTCATTGCTTCTGCTTCTTGCTTCTGGTCCTCAAGTTGTTGCTTCAGCTGGTCCGTCTCAAACTTGGCTACCTCCTGCAAATTGTCGTAGTCATCCTGCAGGCTTGCCTTTTCTTCAAGAATCTTTTCATGTTCTAGCCTACATAAAAAAATCCCAGACCAAATAATCTAATAAGGGTTTGTGTCCTTATAAAAATACTCCAATCAACTGTACTCTCCAAACAGTATTTCTGCTGACAAAGAATGCACCAATACAACCACACCCAATCAACTGTATTCCAACACAGTTCCAATACTCCAAACAGTATTTCTGCTGACAAAGAATGCACCAATACAACCACAGCATTTAATTTCAGTTCCAGGTTCCTAGTCTTACAATGCCTCACTCAAAAATTGACATTCAGCTAAGACATGACCTGCTATAATGCAAAATGTAGTGAAGTTTTCCAGGAACAAAAATCAAGCCCAAAACCTAAAACCAAAGCACAACAAAACAAACTAAACAAAACAGCAACAAAATCCAACATAACTAAATCACATTAGTAATTAAAAACCATACTGATAACGATCTCCTTATGATAATGACAATTATTGTGGACAAGGCAATGAGTTTTTCTGGCTTTGATACTGAAGCTTCAGTTATTTTTTGTGATTTCTTTCTGCTTGTAATTTTTAGAGCAGCACCATTATGTCAGCTACTTCACGTGACCAGACTGACAAACTTCCACTTAACTTTTGGAGAGCAGCAACTTTATAGATATATCCTATTTAATCAGAAAATTATATAGGAAAGCAGAGTTAAGGCAGGCACATTTTGTTTTCTTTCTAATAATTCCACCACGTTGCCTGAAATAGGCATGAAAAAACACAGCAAAAAAACTCCAATCAAACAACCCAAACACCAAATACCCTCCCCACAAAAAAGCAAACAAGCAAAAGACAAACACAAAACAACAACTTTAAAGAAAACATGTGAAGTGTAAATTTGCACAGAGGAAAGGATGACTAAATCACTGGATACATCCAGAAGGGATGACAAGGCATTGTAGAAACTGCCAACATACCTGACACTGTCCAGCTGGAACTGTACATCCATATGTCTACCAGAAAGCTGACTTATTTCTTTCTCTTGCTTTTCCCTAAAGGCATTATATTCTGATTTTACATCAGACAGCTCCTTGTCAGCAGACTGCAGGACAATACGCAAGTCATGCACTTCACTTGTTAATACTGTCAAAAAAACCCAAAATAATTTACGTGTTATTTGGAAAACTGTGCTAGGTACAGGACACGGAATGCTACAGAACCTGCTGGGATCACAAAGCTCTGCATGTTTTCAGTGGAATTAATCTCAAAAGTCACACACAAAAAGGCTTCAGGAATGGAAAAGGTCAACAAAACACCAACTTTAAAGGTGAATCAAAAGCATTCCAGACAATATCACTGTAATTTTCATAGACAATAGGGGTTTAATCCTTTGTTTTTATTTAATATTTTAATTTTAAATACTGTATCTTGTACCTCCTTCACATTCAAAGATGGAACCATTTTGAATATTGTATACTGTGCAAAGATGATATGCAAGTATTAGATTGTTTTCTTTATAAAAAAAAAGAAAATCAAACCAGTATGTCTAACATTCCAAAAAGTTACTCAGCACATGCTATTGTTGATTTAAAACAGTAAACACCCTAAAACTTTTTATGAAATTTTAGTATTACAAAGACTTACAATTAGCATTGTTTTGACTTTCCTGAAGCTGCTTTTCAAGTGATTTTATCTGTTCAAGGAGCTCCTGGCGCTCTTTACTCCAGTCATTCCTTTCAGAGGAAAGAAGCTTGGAAAGAAAAGTAAATTTTTAAAATAGAAGGAAGTACAGGAGTGGGTAGGCCACACACTGTAACAATAATATAATGATGTATTAAAGAATTTAATCAACGGATTACAAACACCTTTTTCTTTAAATTCAATATTTAGTGACTCCAAAATCCCTGAAAGTCCAAGGAAAAAATAATTTATATAACTGAAGACATTACCTTATCTAGAAAGTTCATTTAAAAGGAACCCACAGCTTAGGAGCTGATATGATAGATATCAGAAGTGAGACAGATCTGGAAAGAATACAGGCCTTATTTCCTTTTCTATGATAAAACAACCCTAGCAATTAAGCAAGACTTGCAAATATTTGATAGGTGGTTCCAACTGAGATGAGTATTTTCATCATTTCAGCATTCCAAAGTTTAAAATTTCCTTGTTACTATTGCTGTTTTCCAGAAAGCATGAAGTTGGCTAAACCAAACGACAACAGTGTTTATTTGCTTATATTTAAGCTCAAGCAGGCTTGGATTCACAAGATTTAAAGCAACAAAATCAAACTCAAAACTGCAGTGTTATATTATATGAATCTTCTCTGCTCACTCCAACTCCAGAGGTGTTGGGTTAGATGACCTTTAAACAAAACCAAACTATTACATGACTTTAAATCCTTGTCTTCCTGCAAAGCCCTAAGTTACAATGCTATGTCAATTTGTCAAAATGCAAGTAATGTTGCAAGACCTCACCAGACAACACAGCAGTATGACTGTATGATAGTTACATGAATCCTGTATTACACTGTTCTCTCACCTCCTGTATTTGTGCAGAGTGATGCTCCAGCTTATTAATATGCTGCTGGAGTTTCATACTCTTGCTTTCCTCGTCATCAAGCCTTGTCTGCATAGTGCTCAGTTGCTCCTGTGACACAACAGACATTCAAAATTACAGCACCCATCTTGCACCTTTTTTTCACATGCCATATGGCAGTCTGTGCTTATTAAATATAGAAAGTCAACAAGTTTCTATTTTTATGACCTGAACCAACAGAACACTCAAAAATCAACTAGTATCTTAAGTAGTTGATATATCCTATTTCTAACTTAACTGCCAAAACACAAGATCCATCAGTGAATACAAGGACTGAATCCAATAAACACTTATGTTTCAGACACATGTTTATCTTGGAAAAATAAGGCTTTAAAAATAAGTTATTAAAAACATACACTAGTTAAACTCCTTATAGGAACTCTGCACTATGGTAACCATCAAAGAGGGGCTTTTGCTGTTGTACCATGGTTTTACACACACTTAAGTTAGCTACAGCTTCTAGAGCAGTTCAGATAAATTTGTAGTGCTCTTCTATGTGACAAAAGACCTTTCCTGCCCACTAGAAAAGATACAAGACAATGTATAATGGTGGACAAGCATTATTTGGCAGGTTTCTTCAAATAATGCAGTGTTATATATTAAGCTTGTGTATTGTTCCAACTGTAGCTGTTAACTTATAAAGGAGTCCTCAGAGACAAGTTATCAGGTGTAAATAGAAAAAAAGTATGAACATCCTGCAACAAACTACTTATGATATTCAACCCTCAAATCACTTTCAGTATTTTTGTTGTAAATCTTTTTTCAAGGATGATGTATAGAAAACTGTTTAGTATTAATGAGGGGCTTCAGTTTCCCATGCAAATCAAAATGCACTTGGTGCAGTGGACATACTTCATGGCAAAGTCTGCTTTATTATAAAGTTGTACATACACTTCACTTTTTATTCAGTACATTCACCTGTGCTACTTTGAGCTCCTCAGCAATAGCTTCACATGCTTGTTCACTCATCTCTGCGGGAACTGGCTCTTTCAGAATGTCCTCCATCATCTCTTCAGAATGATGAAAATCTTCAAAATTATAATCTGGGCTTATTCGCGGCACAAGGCGAGACCTTAGCTGGTAAGCTCTAGTTGGAGTGGTTATGCTCTATTACAAAGATTACAAAGCAGTCTTTATTTTAACTGTAAAATTAAATTAAAACTTTGTCTGGTATTGTATTTTTGAATTCTAAAAGCAGAATAATTAAACTACTATTACTTCTTCAGATTTAGCATCTGATAACAGTAGCAGCCATTCAGTTAATACTCCAAAACAAAAAGTAGCCTATTTGGTTTATATGGAGAACATTCCAGAAAACTAGTTATGCTAAGGGATCACACAAATGACAGTTTGTACTCTTGCACAACTTGGGAGTATGTGTGGCCTTAAATAAACTTATTCTCATACCTTAAGGCTTTCTCTATGTAGCTTATGCAGCTGAGAGACCTCTTGGCGCTTGTGTGCTTTGGTGGCCTCCAGAATGTTTTCAAGATGTTGGTTTGCTTTCTGAAGAGATTGGAGCTCTGATTCCAGTTCCATATGTGTTTTCCTGTTTAGGAAGTATTTTGCTACTGTCAAAACTATTCCATGAGTATGCCTTCCTATCAGTAAGGATACACTGCAGTACTGCCAATGAGCAAACTGCAGCTGAACTTTTACCCAAACATTGAAACGCGTTATTTTGAGAAGAAAGCCACTACTGCTGTATTAAAAAGTTAAAAATAATGTATAAAAAATTAAAAAGCTAAGCAGCTTATTTGTGCCTGCATAATAAAGCAAGCAGATGGATAACTAAACATGTCAGAAAAAAAATCCATTACATAGTAAGAAATAAACTGAGAGCTCTGCAGTTCCTTTTATGAGAAAGTGATATCACCCATACCAATATGGTTTTAAGCTTTAAAAATGTTATCCAGTTATATGAGAAGTCTAAACTGGAGCTTGCCAGGATTAAAGAAAATCCTTTAAAGACTTTTTTTTCAAAGTGCTGCTCTGTTAAGATTATTTTGCCCTCTAAGAGTACTTTAGCTGAAATCCAACAATTGAGCAGAAATTTAGGAATAATTTTCCCAGGTATTTTGCAGAGCTACATGCTGTAACTGTGATAGTTGCCATTACTGTCATAATGGTAGGGTCAAAGTTTATACACAAATGGAAACATACTATTTAATCTCTTGGCAGTTTAGTGCAATCATTTTCCCTCATGCTCTTGGCATCTGCAGCAAAACTTAGGGAACAGAGTAGAAGTTCTGACTGCAATTGGACAAAAATTAGCATATATTGTTTTTGTGAAATTGCTATTTTACTCTACTTTTATTCAGTTACAGCATATATTTACCTGTATGTAAAGTTTCAGTTACTCTGAAAGTGGAAACAAGTTTAAATTTAGTGAAATTTAGTGACTCCAGAGGCTAAAAAACCATTTCCGTTTGACTGCACTCCACCAAGAAAATGCTGGTAATTGATAATAAAGTGCATACATACTAACAAGAAAGCAAGACCATCATAAAATATGGAATACATAAAATAGAAATCTATTTAATGGGCAGAAAAATAAACAATAGATAAAAATATAGACTACTGCAATTAATGATATGGAACAATAGATGGACTGCTGAATTGATAACCTCAGTAGATCATAATACTATTATTTATAAAGTTCATAGGATTTGCTACACGAAATCAAACAATAAAATTACAGATTTCTACAATTGCCTAAAAGAGCAAAAAGGATATTAAAAGCTACTTTGTAAAAATAGCAGTGGGGAGGCAAAATTGTTCCTGATGCTTTTAGAATTGCAATTTAATTTCACTGAAATCAACAGAAAGCAACATTGTTAGGTACAACTAAAATAAATTTTTAAGAAATCAGGTCCCTTTTGCCTTCCAGGTTTTCATTAAATTTGCTGGAAATGTTATTTTTCTTCTATCTGCAGTTACAAATCTGAGTTTTTCAGAAATGAGGTTAATCAAGTGAAGTAATGTATTATTCACATGCATATGAACACTGAAGGTATTAGACCATTCCCATTATCTTGTGCTGCCCTCTAGGAGAACAATGACAGTAAATTCTTTACTACATTAATAAAGGCAAAATAGAGCCTTACCTCATGTTTATGGACATAATGGATACAAATGTACTATTGACACCATGTCTTGGCTCTGATTTGAATTAAACCTTTGTTCCCATAAAAGGTCTCAAGATAACAGTTTTATTGCCTTCTTAAAAATCTTTGAAATTGAGATAAATTAACCAACAGGTCAGCCAGAGTTTTCTCGGGAGCTTGGATTCTACATTTATGTTGACTCAAACTTGCAGACTTTAAGTGATTATATTAAAAACTACTGTCACACAAAACCAAACCCCCAAATACCCCTCTCATTCTCCCATATCCCATCTTCCTGTCAGTGCCTCCACCTGTAATATTTCAATTACTGAAAACATCTGCTCTGCATGGAAACTAAGCCAAACACTCCCAGTGCTGTTAAGCAGGCACCTACCAGAATTAAAGGGTATGTCCATCTCCTGCATGGTGTGAAGCATTTTTCTGCACCTTGCTATCAGGAATGGCTTTGGAAAAGACAAAGAAACCTGCAGCAGTGCAGACATACCTTCAGATTTAATGATGGCTGTTCCCTAGTCTGGGAATTAGCAAGTTCAACAGGAACATACCCTCTGTGTGCATGCCATTATTCTTAAGCTGGCCCTTTCTTACATGCCAAGAACAAGCCTAGTTGGTATAACCAGCATCTGAGTATTTCAAAAATCAATATGAATAATGACTGAAAACCATTTAATTACAGATGTTTCAATACTGTTTTGTCTCACTTGGTTAGGTCTTTAAATTCTTCATATTCTTGCTTTGAAGCTGCCAGTTCAGCCTGGGTCTGCAGCAGATGAGCTTTCAGCCTTTCGACAGATGCCAGCGAGTTGCCTTCCACTGACATGGTGGTGGAGTGTAAGCGGAGACCTAAAGAGCAAACAGAGACCCTCTGAAATCACACAGCAGCTCAAATACCTAAAGTTTTACTAGAATGAAAGTGTTTGTCAGCTTTTAAACGGCACAGCAGCAATTGAGATTGACAAAAATAGGTACTGGCAACAGTCCACATGAAAACTAGTAATAATTAGTATTACTGCAGTCTTCATGGTAACAAAGGAGCACAAAATGAGATTATAGATGAGCTTCACAAGATGCAAATCAAAATTCCCTATTGCTGGAAGGCCAACATGAATACAATAGAGTGAAATTGTTTTATTAGTCTTCAGATACCACTTTGAGGAAGGCAAAAATACATCAAGAAAGACATTTTGAACAATGCTGCACACAGCAGAAACACAATAAGCACATTTATCTGGAAAACATTAGCCTATTTTTACCTTTAGTACTTTTCTCTGTGGCTGAAGCTTGCAAAAAAACTTTTTCTAGCTCTGCAATGGTCTGAGCATCAATTTCTTGGGCCTTTTTAACTGATTGTAAAGAACGAAGTTTTTTATTTTCCTCTCTGAGATTATGGTTCTCCATGGCGTACTTTGCAATTCGTGGATGTTGTTCCATCTGTGGTAATCAATATTTTATTCAATAGTTTTTATTTTCCAGACAAGGCTATAGCTATCTAGCTGTTACTCTACTACCTTTAATAAGGATTAAGCTGTTAAAGAAAAGGAAAAGAGGACTTCCCCACAGTGGTTATAAGTACTCAGTTTTTCTTTGGTTAATTTTATTACTGCCTTGGAATCTACTCTCAAGACAGTGAGTTTACATCTTATGTGTTTACTCTTTTACTGGTACTAAAGCAGCAGGATGCTTTTATGCTGCTCTCGATACTTTTCCATTTTCACTTTAAACTTTGGCTTTCTCAACGCCATAGTAATGGCATCTTCCTTGCAAGCCATAGGAATGTTTCTGTAGTCAACAAAGGACTGCCCTGAACTTTGTGTCTTTTCCTCCTCCCTTTCCTTTGAAGCTCAATTATGAGCTACAGATTTATGCTACTCTATCATTCACTCCTTTTCTCTCCTTGTGCTTGGAGGAAATTGTTTTTCAAGAATTTGCCTTCTCTCTTGGGTTTCCTTGTTCTTCAAAACTGCCTCACAAATGATACCACACCTACCAGACACCTGACCCAAAGATGTTCTTCAAACAGCTCCAGGACCACATCCCCCTTTATATGTCTACCTAGCATGTGTATTATCTTTTGAAACCCGTGGCATTATTGCCATGCTGCTGTCTTTCCCTTTCAACTGATGCCATAGAGCTGAATTCTGCCATATGAATGAGGATATGTGATTTGGAGACTTCCTTGAGTTGCTGAAAAGAAACCTGATCCTCAGCCTAACCCAGATCAGGTGGTCTGTGGCAAGCTCCCACCACAACATCACTCTCACTAAACTCTCCTCTTAGGCAAACTCAAAACTCTAAACCCAGCCATTGTCTCTTCTATAGGGAAGCCCCATGTGTTTGAGATGCTTCTAATAAGGGAACTCACCACCCATCCTCTGCTTTTCTGCTTGACCACTAAACTCTCCTCTTAGGGAAACTCAAACTCTAAACCCAGCCATTGTCTCCATAGGGAAGCTCCATGTGTTTGAGATGCTTCTAATAAGGGAACTCACCACCCATCCTCTGCTTTTCTGCTTGACCTTCCTAAAAATCCCCTACTCGCCCATCACAGGACTACAATATGTGAGCTATCTCGCCAAAAAAAACTGTTCCAGAAAAGAAAAAACAAAGACTTTACCTGTTCTCTGAGTATCTGCACCTCCTCCCTCAAGTCACTGAGGAGATCATCTTGCTCTTTTGGCAATAACATTCCACCAGCTTCTTTATGTAACCTCTCCAAGCGAACAATATGGTGTTCCCGGAATTTAACTATCATTTTATTGGACTGAACAAATTTTTCCTTCTTGGCACACAGCTCTTCCAGCTGAGCCACTTTTTCTAATAAATTCTTAGAAAGTACATAGATAGATTAGTGAATTTTTAAGGTGCATATCTTACATACACATGCACAGGCAGATAAATCATGCAAAATCTCAGTTAACAGTAATTTTGTGAATACACAGACTACCATTTTTAGCAGATTTGTATAAAGCAACAGCTCAAATCAAGAACTAAAATTACACAACATATTGCAAAAATTGTACTTAGAAACTCCAATATGATCTAGTAAAGTAAGTATTCTGCTAAGCGCCTCAGATGCACATCACTAGAGTGCCTGTTTCAGTTAATTTTCTTTAGAAAAAAAATCCATTTTGGCTGTTTCAGTACTATACCATGACCAAAGAACAATAAAATGAGAAAGACTAGGACGTTTGCTTCAAAAAACACACCATTGATTAAAACACTCAAAATTCAGCAAAACAGAAGCTTATTCTGTTGAATTTTTTAAAAATTTGAAAACCCCAATAAAAGCTCCCACCCCTTAAAATTAAATATACTATCAAAGCTATCCTGTGGCTTGTCAGAATTTGAACAACAGACTAGAAATATAGAATTATTTCAGCTGGAAAATACTTTTAAGATCATCAGATCCAGCCATTAATCCACCACTGCCAAGTCCACTACTAAACCATTGTCCTTAAGCACTATAGATGTTACCTTAAATATCATCTGACTAATTTCCCTTGTTACCAAACCTTGTTTTCTTTGGACAGAGTATTTTTATTCAAAATCAAGAAAAATCAATAAGAGAGTCAGCTTCACTATGCTCACTGGTCTCTCACCAGAAAGAGTACACTGAATGCAATTTAAAATATCAGTGTTTTCTTACCTTCTTTTCACCTTCTGATTTCTCCCAGAACAACATTGCTTCAAGAAAGTGGTTCATGTAATTTATGTTATTCTTCCCTTTTTCAACAGCATCTGTAGGGGAAGTCAAATAAACAAATGCTGTATTTATTAAAATACCACTTAGGTTTTTCTACATTTATAACATGACAATTGTGTAAATTTTAATAAATTCTTTAAACAGTGTAATTCTTCCACAAAGATCACGTGCCATACCCAGAGCACACTGTTTTAGAAAATCATTCCGAGTCACCTGCAAGTGCTGATAAAGAACAGAGCTAATTTACATAACTGTATAATTAACAAAGTTGTTCAAGCATTAAACAGCCTTGCAATGGACTTTGGACTTTTATTAAAGTAAAAGAATCAGTCTGTTCAGCTAAGCATAATTGTAAAATGCAAAATCCCTCTGAAATTAATTTGATAACACTGAGCCATTATTAGTACATTTTGTACATATTAAAAGTGGACTGACTGGTTTATGAGAAGGAAGTTTAGGAAACTAAACCTGAATTATGTGGACAATTAGTGGCTTAATCTGGAAGGAAAGTGTCCACACAAGGGATTAAGAGGGTTTAATAATCCACTTAGAAATTAATTCAAAATAGCATGTCTGAATATTCTAATACAAGTCTACTTATTTATGGAGCTCTAATCACCATAGTATCAAGGTGCATGATAACTACATTATTATGATTTAATATATTTTAAAATGCCATCATGTTTCTGAAGCACACAGAAAGCAGATTTTGTATTTCTGTGATTGACAGTATTGCAAACAATTTAACTGCACAGAACAAACACAGCTGTGATATATTAGGTTCTTCTCAAAACTCCTTCTGAGTGTTTAACTATCATCACTTGTTCTTCCTCAGAACTCTATCAAGGGCCTAAACATTGAGCCCTCTATCAACAGTCCTATATTTATGAACCATGATTCAGTGTCCTACCTCATCTCTGATTTGGTTTTACTGGTTGAACACATATCCTAACGCAGAAATACTTTTTCCTTAGGAAAACTCAAGCCCAGATGCTTTATATTAGACAAGGCTTCTTAACTTCTGTCATAACTTCTCCTGCTGTATCTACTATTTCTTGGCAAGTTCAAGAAAGAGTTGACTCACAAAACCAGCAAGAGTTACAAGACAAAGTTTAAGACTTTGCAATCAAACATCATCAAGCAGCACATTTCAGTGAGAAACACATACTGGGAAGCTCTGCTGAGATTTGTATTGCAGATAAAATGGCCTAGTGGGAAGCTTATGGAAGATTACCTAAAAACTCTATTTCCACTTTATATTGAAATCAAATGTCAGTTGAAAGTAAGCATCCCTCTTAGGTTCTTCTGGAAGGGGCAAAAAACGGGAAAAATGGGAAGAAAATCCTGCCCTGAGCTTAAAAAGAATGCAACATTTTGCCTTCCCTCTGACAAATGTACAACGAATTGCATGCAAACTTTTGCTTACTTAAAGGATTAGGCAGAATATATCTTAAGAAGTGGAAAAATATCTAGGTATCATATAATAAAGTCATAGACCAGTACCCAAACTTATGAGGAAGAAAATAAAGCCACATTAATAATTTCTGCAAGGTAGCAAATATAAGTAAAGGAAATCGGATCCATAAGCAAAATGTGACCCCTGTATGTCAGTGCCTACAAAAATATTAATTGTTCACAAACTTAATGAAGGTCCCCAACCTCCTGGGTTACAGAAGTAGCAAGTTCTCCCTCACCTCCAACTCTTACCTTGCGATCCAGAAATACTGCATGCAGATGACACTGAAGTAAGTTTAGCAAGCTCCTCTTTCAACTTCTTGATCTCAGCTTGCAGCTGGCTCACATTTCCTTGTGTATCTTCATTTACTACAGCCTTATTTATAAATAGGAGAAAATTAGGAAAAGGTATAAATATAAATATTACATGATAAGAGAAAACTCAAAGAATGCAAATCAGTAAAATTACTGAGAACTCCTTCCATCATAGAAAAGGAAGAATTCCTCAAAAAAGCAAAGTTCCATTCACTGAGAAATCAGCAAGTTGCACTTCAGTTGGAATTAAATGTTAAAAAATGTAATGTTTTTGCATGATTTTGTCTGGACCTTTTTCACCAACACAGCAGTATACATCAGAGACTGTTTCAGCTAAACGCCAGCATGCATTTAAATACCCACTCATGAAAAATTACATTTTGGGACTAGAATTAATATAGAACAAATGAACAGAAACAACATTGAATCAGAACATTTTTTTTGGTCAATTTGCATTTTAAGTATAGATTTACTTTTCTAATGAAGTGCTCTGGGAGCAAGCAATGAATACGTACTGTTAGCAGCCACTACTTAGTCTTCAGCTGTTGTCCTTTATTCCTAACCAAGGGCAAACAAGCCCTTTTCAAAAATGGTTTGTCTTAAAAAAACCCGACAAAGCAAATTAACGTTTTCAAATAAGCCAAATTAAGTTAAATTAATGAAATCACTGGAAGCTACCTTGCTTGCAGATATGTTGTTAAATGACAAGTGTCTGTTGCTACAATAAAGACATTAAGTAACTTTCTTACCTTGTTTTTAATCAACTTTGCTCTCTGAGCAAAATTAAGGGTGGACAGTGTTTCACCAAAACACTTGGATCCTGGGTGAACATTTGCAATTATACACGTTTTTGCATTACCACCAAGAGAATCCTAATTAAAAACATGGAAGTTAAGTTTTATTTGCATGTTTTTGGTGACAATAGGAAGCCATCACCTAAAAGATACTGTGTATCATTTTGAACAAATTGCAGAAATAATTTTGTTTAACAAATATCCACATAGAAGGTAAGTTTCTCAATTTTATTTCAAATGTGGGTATAAAGGATGTGACCTTAAGTAAAGACTTAATGTGGTCTGGGTTTTGAAGCCCCAAATAGAGATACTTTATTCACACAAACAACAGGGAGGGGAAAAAATTCTAAAGAGCTGCAAAATCATTTTGGTAATTAGCAGATTAGTAGTAACACTACTTTCAACATCATCAATTCATTGTTCCAGCCCATCTTCCTTCTGCTTGCAACTATCAAACAAAATCACAAACCAACAGATTCTTGACCAAGGATATAAAAGGATCATCTCCCTTTTGCATGCACAGCATTTCTGGGCTGTTAAACAAGTAGCTCTCAAATCTCAAGCGAAGGAAGCATTTATATCTAAAGACTAAAAGTCTGCTACTACAGAATAGTCCACAAGCCTTGATGGCATTCTTGCTCTGTAGTAGTGAAGCTCATATTTCTTGGCTTCTTTGCTACTGCACCTCAAAAAGAATAACCACTTAAAGTAACAGCACAAAAACCCTTTTTTTTTTTTTTGTATTTTGGGTTGCATTAGAAGAACATAATTCCTCAGTTTCATCAATCTACACAGAACTGGGATGGAACACTGAGAAATTTTGCTGTGATCACAATACTGTGTTGTAATACAAATACTGTATGTGTACAAATACTATATTATAATACAAAAATATACTACAGCCATTCACGTGCCCTTCACAGAATTTTGGTGAGTGCTGACATCCAACAAATCTTTGACTGCTTAGGTCTTTGTTTTGTGCTCATTTTGAAAGCACATGAGAAGAGCCTATAAGTTCTCAGGTAGGAGACTAAATCTAACTGATCTTTAACACCAGACCAACCCTAAGTACACATAAGCTAATTCTGGAAATCACAGCAAATGTTTCAGCACATCTCTAAATATTACACTTTGATACACATTATTTCCCAAATTATAAGGACAAAAAAGTGTTGTTTTTTTTTTTAATTAAAACTTCCAAATATGTATGTAGTACTAGCTTATGAGAATAAATAGATTTGTCTTCAGTTAACAGCAATAGATTGATCAGAAATCTGTTTAGGCTAAAAAGATACTTTTCAATCTTTTTTCCACTTGCCCAGTATTGAAACAACTTTAATGCACTAGTTCAGCTTTTAATAGTTAAAAAGCCTAATGAGATGTATTTTTCTACACCCCAGGTAGCAGATAAAATCCAGAGGATATATATTACCCGTAGCAGAAAAGTGAGCTTGGAATCCCGGTAACAAATGTGTCTCTGTTTGCCATTGCCCACATCAACAAGTGCTGTGATTACTTGGGCCAGGCAGCTTAGTGATCGATTGATGTTGCCTGCTTCCTAAAAAAGAGGAGGGAACAAGAGTGAATGGATTTGGTGGAAGGAACAGGGAGCTGCATCTGAAAGGAGGAAGATGCCACAGATACTACAGAACTAACCTTTAACCTCAGTCCTTCTGTATGGGTGTCTTTCTGTCTCTCAGATCCTGCCAAGTCAACCAGGTTGAGCAGGGAAGTCCGAATGTTAACAACCTCGTTGTTTTTCTCCATGGATTCCACTGTGATAGTGAAAACTGCGTGGGATCTGGAGGATTCTCTGTTCATGGAGGTCGATGCTACTCGACGGTTTCTCCAGCCCATAGTTAATACCTAAGCATGAAAAAGACATCACAATTTCAACTGTGTCAGACTGTACTTCACATACAGGTGACAGAAACAGCCGTAGGCACAATTCCATGCAACAGCTCCTAAAAATCGCAAGAACAAGGAACTTTTTTTACTGTTTTCCAAGATAAGTATTTTAAAAACAAAAAAGATGCAGCTACAGTCAAGCTTAGTAGGAGAACTTGTTATAATATTCACTTCTTCTCTCCAAGAGTGCCACTGCTGTTTGAAAGCATAACATACCCCATACTGGGGTATGTTAACAGTAGACACAATAATAATTTAAAAAAAAATTGAAGTCACACAAGTACTATCTGTATGTGTTACCATTCATGGAGAAATAAACCTGGCAATTCTGGAACACATGGAGCCTACTTAGCAGGAAGTATAGTTTTCTGTGGCTATTTCAGAGATGTGTAGGGCAAGCATTGGGGAAAGATTACTGTAATTGCCATTCAGATATTCCAAACTCTAAAACTTTTTTGATTTCTTACAGATATGTGATAGTCAGGAAGCATTGACTTAAACCTGCTTTTTTTACACTGTGTTTTGAAGTAGGGAGATAGCAAGGGGAGAAAGCATTACAGACAAAAAATAAGTAAAAAAATGTGCTTTAATCCAAGAGGAATATTTCCCACATAATATTTAAGATGAATAGTCCAGCATTAAAAAGTGCCAAAAAATACCTGGTATGCTTCAGCAGCAGATGACACCACCTGTTCAACAGCACCACAAACAAAGACTCCCTTCTTGATGTGTTCTCTGAGAAAGAGTCCAGCTGAAGCAGAATCTAGCAAGTCAAATATCTGCTCATTGTAGATTTCAATAAATGAGCATTTGCAGAGAAAACTCTTTCCACTGCCAGCCTGAAAAGCACAGTAATTTACACTATAAAGAGATTGGTTTTATTCAGTCTGTCATTATATGGCAGCAAGTCTCTTTTCACATGTATCTAAAGCTATTAGATTGCATATATATTCTGCACACTATACATTCCTGATGCCCAGGTGACAACCAACATCTGGAAACTGAGATGCATTTCTAGACTCAAAATACAGGCACACTTGTGTCTGAAGAAACTGTACTATAATTTGGTAGAGGACTCGATGCAAGCATTTCTCATTAATACATTTGAGGCAATAATCTTGGTAACTTAATGGCTGCACACACAGTTTACCAACCCTGGCTAATGTTTACTGTGAGACATTACTGCAATAGTAATTATAAAGCAAATGTACCTTTTCCTTTTCCCGCTCAATTAGAAAAAATAAGTATTCAAAGCTCCGTGGAATTACACCTCTCAGGCTGTGAGTGAAATTACCAGAATCAGATGGTCCTAAAGAGATTTTTTAAATGCAAAAATAATTAATTTGTAGTATTCAAGAGTAGCGGTTGATATGAGGAATACATTTCAAGACAAAAAAAAAACCATTAAGAAACTACTGAACGATTAATCTCTCATGCACTTACCCATCATAGTAAAGGTTTTCCCTGACCCAGTCTGGCCACTAAAAAAAAAGAAAAAAAAGTGAGATTAAACTTTATTCTGAATTTTCATTCATCTTCATCTTTTAAGGAGAAGTCAAAGCTTAAAACAAGCAACAATTTTCTAAACTGAAGATAAGGATAGAGAAGCAAGCTGAGAAATCAGTCAGGTAAAAAGGTGTAAAAACAAAACAGCAAATTTTACCAAGAAGTCCCATTAGATAAATCCCATTTTGTCTCCCCTACCACCCACCATTTCCTTCCTCATTTCTCTTGGAAAGGGTAGTTAGCATTAAAATGAAGGTTTTCAAATATATACATAAAACTAATTTTTGGGTCAAACTTTAGAGTTTTATGTCACTCAGGATATATTTAGACATAAGGATATATTTAGACATAAGGATATATTTAGACATAAGGATATATCTGACTTTGAAGTATTTTTTTTCTTTTAAAGTTTTTTTTTTTTTTCTAATGTAGTTATTAATCATGCTAAAGAAACTTCAGGGCAATTTCATTTTTCCGCATTTGTATCTTGTAACAAAGTGGACTTGATAGTTTTGCAAAAGCTGTGCTACACTAAAAAACACCCCACTAAAGTTTTGATTAAGTCAGCATTTTCTAACCAAAGTGCTTCCTCAGTTTTCAAAAAGTTAATATAACTATATTCATACTACTGGATATATTTCTATATCAGTCATGGATATATTTCTACCTTAAAAATATTCTAACAGTTAAAATTATCATTCATGAGTTTTCCCACAGGCAGCCAAGAGTCACTGAAGAGTTGAGCTGACCAAATATCAAGTTAAAACAATTTTCATTCCATTTTACTTGAAAACCACTAGCTTTCTCTTTAACAGTGCAATGAAGCTCCCACTTTTTAAGCAAAGAACAGTAAGATTGAAATGAGTTTACATCAGCATTACTGGCCTTAAGTGTTAAAAGTGTAAACCTACATACAGATTCCTCCAAAAGAGGGGCAAGGAGTACCATCCAATACTGCAAGAACATTGCTTATGCTGTGCTGCAGTAAGGAAGCACTTTCAAAGTTTACTGTAAAATCAGGCAGGCTCTGGCACTTGAAACCCCAACTGCTTATGAGCACAATCTCCTTAAATGTCTCCATTGCTATGAAATTACTGTAATTGCTATGAAATCACTTACTATGCAAAGATGGTTCCATTGTAGCCATTCATACACGATTCAACAATGTTTTTAGCCACACTTGAGAACACAGACTCCTGGGGATAAGGGAAAGAGAAAGCACTTGGCACTACCTGTTTAACTATCTGTTGTATCAGTGTTTCCTATGCCATAACTTTATAGAATATCATAGACGCATTTCTTAAGGTTAGACATGTACCATGATCCCTGGAATTCTCACAGCAAAATGATGCATCCTAAGTCTTTATGACATAAATCACTCTCTCTGAAAAAAATTGTATTCCTTGATAAATTCAAAGAGACATAATAAAATTCAGCATCATAGTAACAGCTTCCAAATACATAATAACAATTTTGATCCAGTGGTTTTGATTGTTACATTGTTTATACCATCAGTAGGCCAGGTGCCTATGACAGTTATAAAATCTAGCTTTCAACATTTGCCACTGCACAATGGCACATTCAACAGAGCTGCACAACTTAGTCTCATCTATCTTCACATTTTTCTCTTAGATCTGCAAGAACCTAGCTACAAATAATAGCCTAGAGCAGGTGAGGTTTTTGGGAGGTTTTGTTTTGTTTGTTTTTTTAACTGAATTTAAATGGAATTGGGAGTCCTAGCAGAATTAAAATTACATTCAGAATGTCAATCACCATATTACAGAAAGTAAATTGAAGGACTTTCTTTCCAGTATTACTTGTCCCAGGTGAGCATTTAAAAGGCAAAAGTAGAAAAAGAAAATAGAGTAAATGGAATATAAACTCTGAAGTTCCTTAAATACAAATGTGCAGGGCCAGGAGTTGAACTTGGTAAGTCCCTTCCAACTCAGCATATTCTGTGATTCTGTGAAATCACATGTTAATATAAACTCTTGACTGACAGTTATTTTTATACATTTGCCTCAATAGGCAGATTTATTTTCTATGGTGTTACCATAATATTTACAAACAAAACCTTCAATTTTAATTCAAACTCCAATTACAGAAATTAACAGCTAAAAAAACCACAATCACATCAAAACTGTTAGAGAGCAAAATCTAGTGCAGCATTCTGTACTATAACAATGTATTTCCAATCTGACCACTGCAAAAAATTAGACCTAATGCACATCTTCAGAAATGCTTAGCACAGTAGTTGCCAAAACTTGGGTGAAAATAGCAGTAGTTACGAGATTCTGGAAATGATTACCTGCGTTGTTTCCATATTTGCAACGCAATCAAAAGTGAAGATCTTGGGCTCAGGCTTTGAGTGCAGGCGGATGGTGTTGGATGAAAGCACAGATAAACACAGGCCATGATCTCCCTCTGTTAATACAGTGCTGTCTGAAGGGGGACGCACCCGCACGAAAACCTTGATAGCATCACCTTCAACACTAAATAAATGTTTATGCATTAGATTGCTTCCAAATAGATCAGCTGCCTGATAAAATTAAATTGCAACAATCAGATGAAGCATATGAAGTTCTTACAAAGGTCTCTGAAAATCATACTACTTGTAGACGAAATCAATAGAGGTAACAAAGTGGCAGATTTGAAAAACAAAGAACATGCAGTTACATGCAACTCGCTGCTGTGGCACCTAGCTTTAGCTCTAGAAGAACACATTGCACAGCGAACATGGGATGCCCTTCTTACTCCTGGAAGCTTTAATGGACCAATGGATCAGATAATGCTACGGTCCAGCAAAAAAGTTGTTAGCGTTTTTCTCTGGTGCTCACAAGAAGGGGAAAAAGAATCAATTCTTGATCAAAGAATCAAATAAAGCATAGCAAGTACCTGCATCTAAAACATCCCTAACCAATTTCATCACATTTATCAGCTTTAATAAGTAACTGTGCATGATTTACATTAAGGATCTGAAGAGTTCTGCCATAAATACCAATACACCCATAAAATATTAAAGAATTAAATTCTTACATGAAGTGTTAGCAAACTTGGATTTACTTTACTTCATTCGTTCCAAAAGATTTAGCAGGAGGGCGTTGCAACTGCTATTTTTACTTTTGGTAACAAGAGAGAACAGTTTTAAAAGTGGGGAAGGGTCCTCATGAATGAAATGTGCAGCTGGGTTGTGGCAGAGGAAAGGGCTGAGAACATAAGCAGCAACTGAGAAAAATCCAGTATAACATTTTCCCTAAGACACACCACATTAATTTGCCAAATATGCTTTCATTATTCTGAGTCGTGGCATGGTTTACACTTGGAGGAGGGCTTTTTGGTTTTTAGTTTAGGGCTTCCTCACAAGACTGAAGTTCCTAGTGGGATATTTCTTCATATAAACTCTAGAGTCCAGCTGCAGAATTAGTGGAAAAATGAAAATTTATTGCATGGCAGCATTCCAAGAGGAACCCAACATGTTGGCATAACAGTTTCATTATGAATACTTCTTTTTTTTAAGCCTCTAAGGATATTAGGAGAGAAAGGCAGCAATCTTAGGCAGGTAAAGATGGAAAGAAAAAAACTTTATCTCACAAAGTTATGCTAGGTTTTGTTTCTGTGCAATGTGATTAATAATATATGGGAACTGGCCAATATTATTTTACCTAGATGAGTTCAGCAAAGATATTGAAGAGTCACGCAGATCTCCTATAAAAGAAAAGAGAGGCACACAAAAATGAAAATAAAATTACCACTCAAAACTCCTGACTTAAATAAAAAATACTGTAAGCAGTACAGAGGGAAATAAATGGAGAGCCTTATAAATACGTGTTTTGTGCATGAACAAAACTGCATGAAAATATTTGGTAATTATCTTCCTTTAGCAGAAAGATTTCAGGTTGTTGCAGAGGAAGAGAAAGCTCCAGTCCTTTAATGTGAACATGTGCACACTTATTAATGTGCCATTTGTTTAGTCTGGCAAGAAGGAGGCTCTGGGAGACCTTCATCTACACTCTACAACTGCCTGGAAGGAGGTTGGGGTCAGACTCTTCTCCCAGGTGACAGGACAAAGGACACAGCCTCAAGCTGTGCCAGAGGAGGTTCAGGTTGGACATCAGGAGGAATGTGTTCACTGAAAGGCTGATTAGACTTTGGGCTGCCCAGGGAGGTACTGCAGTCACCATGCCTGGAGGTGTCTGGAATGGCACTCAGTGCCATGGCCTGGTTGACAAGATGTTGGTCAGTCATAGGTTGGACTCCATGATCTCAGAGGTCTTTTCCAACCTCACTGATTTTGAGAGTGAGGATCATCTTGCACAGCTTCAGATTTCAAGGAGACAACACCTATTGCCCCATAGGTAGATAAAGTGACTTATTTTTTACTTAATCTGACATCAAAATACATAATATAGTCAAAACATTAGCTAATAAAACTGTCACCATGATATTTTATGAAAAATCCTCTGCTAGGATTTTGCCCCTCCTGAGGAGCTGAGGGCTTCAGGAAAGAAATGTAAACAATAAATATCTGCTGCTGTGGAATGCAACGGGTGCATCTGTGACTGGGGCATGTTGGTTGTTTCTAATTAAGAGCCAATCACAGATGCAGCTCTGAGAGTCACAAGATTTTGTTATAAATTTTATTCTTGTTCTTTCGAGGCTTCTGATAATTCTTTTCTCTCTGTATTTTTAGTATAGTTTTTATGTAGTATTTTAGTATAATATATATCATAATATAGTAAACCAGCCTTCTGAGAAATGTGGAGTCAAGACTCATGTCTCCACACATGGGGAGTCCTCAACACAAAACAAACAAAATTGTATTTAGAAAAGAAACAAAATAACAATGAAAGACAATGGCTCAAGATTTTCCAATAATAAAGCGTTTATGAAAATCTTTATAAGCACACAGGTAAGGGAATCACCTTTAACAACAGAACAATGATGAGCAAAGATGCCTACCTTCTCTTTGACACTCATACCACCTAAATATCCTGCTGCTGCATGAGTTTTTTACGTGCTGTTTTCATTTACTCAACATCTGAGAAATATTTTAGCTTCTAATTATGTAATTTATTCTTCAGTTGCACAAGTTATCAAGGAAAGGGGTGCAGTTAAAACTGAAATCAGACTGATAGGTACTTGCACAGGAATAGCCTGAAATTGTGTCAGGGGAGGTTTGGGTTGGATACCAGAAAAAAGCTCTTCACTCAGAGGGCGGCTGGGCACTGGAACAGGCTCCCCAGGGAAGTGGTCACAGCGCCGCGCCTGACAGAGCCCAAGAAGCGTTTGGACAATGCTCTCGGGCACATGGAGTGATTGTTGGGGACGGTGCTCTGCAGGCCCAGGAGCGGGACTCGACGATCCCGAGTCCCATCGGACTCAGCTTATTCTGTAATTCTGGGAAAGGGCCGACTCCCAGGTACGCCGACACCACTGGGGCAGCGCTCTGCCGCGGGCACGGCAGGACGGCACCCGCCGGAGCATCTGCCCGCCCGGGGCACCGAGCCCCTCCGCACCCGGCCCCGCTGGCTCTCCCACGCCGGTGATGCCTCTGCAGGGCGCGGGACAGCGCGGCTCTGCCGGGCAGCGCCGTCCCTCAGTGCCCCGCTCCCTCCCCTGCTCCCCGCACCGAGGGCACATCCCCAAGCCTCTTCCCGACCGTTCCCACTCACCTCTCTCGCCGGGAGCCATGGTCACTCCAGGCCCGGCGACTCCCGCCCGCCCGCCGCTCCAAAATGGCGGCACCTTCGAATTTGGCGCTCAGCGGTGCGGCCCCGCCCCTGCCCGCGGCCAGCGCGCGCGCCGCCATTGGCTGGGAGCTCCGGAACGGAGCGCGCGCGGCGCCGCCCGCCCGGAAGCGCGCGCGGCGGCGGCGGCGGCCATGAGCAAGAGGAACCAGGTGTCCTACGTGCGGCCGGCCGAGCCCGCCTTCCTCAGCCGCTTCAAGCGGCGGGTCGGGTATCGGGAGGGCCCCACGGTGGACACCAAGGTAACGCCCTGGCCCGCGGGCGAGCCTCGATGGCCGCCCGCCCATCCCCGCCCGCTGCCTTCTGGCGCAGTGGGCGGTGGGGAGGCAGCGTTTGTAGTGCGAGGGGAGCCGTAGTTACCCTGACTGGGGTCGTGTGTGTGACTTCGTTTGGCTTTGTGTTGGATCAGAACAACTGCGAGGCTGCTGTGGCGGCCTTGCGGTGCCCCTTCAGCCCCTGCGTGCCTCCGGGGGATGTCCGAGCTTGAGCCGGGCTTTAAAAAACACAGGGCGATGGGGGCGGTGTGGAAAAAAATCTTCTAAAAGCACGATAAACCAGATTATTGTAAAGGAGTTAGCATGAGTTCGGAATGATGGAGAAGGAATTTAGGTTCGATTTGTGGAAAGCGTGAGGGTGGTGGGACAGGTTGCCTAAGGACATGGGGGATGCCCCGTGTCTGGAATTGTTCAGAGCCAGGTTGGATGGGACTCTGAGCAGCCTGGCCTAGTGGGAGGTGCCCGTGTCCACGGCGAGGGAACTGGAACTGGATGGCCTTTAAGGTCCCTCCCAACCTCAAACATCTTGCTGTAGGTCTGTGTCATGAACTGTGTTGTGATGGCTGGAAAAGCAGGGAGTTAAAAGGCAGCCTTTTCTAAGGCACGGTTTTTTTCTGCTTCCAATGTGATTTTGCATGTGTTTCCCTCTAAATAGGATTTTACAGGATACCTTAAGAAATGAACTTACCTTTATATATGTATATATATATATATGTGCATATTCAGTAGATTACACTAATACTGTCTATACTTTTCCTTACAATATAAAGTTTTCAGATCCTCTAATATTGCCAAACTTCAGGTTGTTGCACTGAGGTTTCCATACCAGAAGGCTTTTTTTTAAAAAATAAAAAATTACCCAAATTGATTCTTCTGCCCCAGTGCACAAGTTTGAGAGAGCAGAAACAGGAGTATGATCTTGTGTCAGTGCTGCTTACAGTGATTTGTTTAGCCAGGTTTAATAACCCAGCTACCATGGACCCACGTTTCCCTTTGTGCTGCTTTAAGTACAGCATAGAAGGTTCAAGTTTGGACCCTTGCATTTAAAGCTTTTCTTAATGTTGCGTAGCAGATAGTGCTGCACAGTCAAGATGGCAAAGAAAAGGAATTAATTTCATGCTTTGCAAGTTCCTTCTGGTCTCTAATTGAAGAATCCCATGCTCCCATGCTAATGTTTTCAATGGGAAGCCATGTCTCAGTGATACAATTGGAGTGTCCTTTGGATAATGTGCTGGGAGGGCCTGGCACTGGCAGCTATGCCAACTCTCCTCAATAACCCTTCTGCAAAAGTGAAACCAAGGAGTACTGGCCCACAACTGGAGCGATGATCAGAATGGCTTTTATTTCTCCCTTATCCAGAGAGAGCAGCTTCCACTCGCCGATGACGACAGTGACAATGGCAGTGACAAGGAAGATGAGCAGCCGCAAGTGGTGACACTGAAAAAAGGGGACTTGACTGCGGAAGAAGCAATGAAAATTAAGCAGCAAATCAAAGAGGCTTTAAAATCAAAAGAATCAGGTGAATTTCAAGCTACTAATTTCTTGCTTTGTGTAGTCAAAGAGATAATCCACAAAAGCGGGTCTGATACTTGCTCAGCTTTCTACTGTTTAATACTACCTTTGATTATTTCTGAATTTTTCACCTAAATAATTTGCATTTCTGGTTCCTAATCTCAAGTTGTTAAGTGCATATTCAGGCTGTCTGGCTTTTTATAATTATGTAGTTCTGTGCTTCTTGATTGTGCACCATCCTCCCTCTAAATGCGCCCTTAAATTAATTTTTTTCCTATTTTTGTAAACAAATTTTTTTGTTGTATTATTCCACTGTACAGTCTTTTGACATCACCTGTGATCATTTTTTAACTCATTGACTAATTCAGCTGAATTTGACAGTGGAGTGGATGTTTAAAAGGTAATTGTATGAGTTCATGAAAGAGAGTGTCAGGGCAGAGGGATTCAGGTCTGTGCTTTGGTGGAAGGAATTGCAGACGTGTGGCTTGGGAACATGTTCGCTTATCTGATACAATAGTGCCAAAAACCAGCAAGATCCAGAAAAAAATGTTTCTCTGTGTTCTGGTTTAAGGCAAACTTGGGAGAAAACCTCTAAAAGGCCCCCCCCCCCCCCCCCCCCCCCCGCCACCCCGAAAGCGAACTCACGTGACCGCTCTCTGCAACCACGTTTGGGAAAGATTTCCTTGGAGGGAAGTGGGAAAAAAACCCTATTTAAACAGACAAAGCACTCCCCAGCACAAAAAATGAACAATACCAGATGACAAAACTCATTCGTTGCTCTGAAGAGATGGCAAATTCAGAATGTCTCTCCCGGGGTGGTCACTCTGTTATCAGTCCCTCCGGCGCTGGGAAAGGCTGCTGCCCAGAGGAGGCCCTGGCTGGCCACAGAGTGCGAGCTCTTGGTGCTCCCCAGGTCCCAGTGCGGAGCAGGTTCAAAAGGTTCCAAGAAAAGGGAAAGAAAAGACAGTTCAGGGAAAACTTCCCTGCCTCAGCTAGCTAAACTTAACTAAAAAGCAAAGGAGGGCTCTGTTCTGCTCCATCTGTGCATAGACAAAACAATCCAGGGCAGGAGGTGGAAAAGGGATGCAGTTTCTGATAACAAACTCCTTTTTGTTCTTCTTCTCCTTGCCTTTGGTCTCAGAACCAGTTTTGAAGGTACAGAATATAATACCCAGCATAAACAGAGCAGAGGATTGGGAATACAAACATCGTAAAGTCACCCTAGGACACTCTGTCACAAAGAATTACACAGAATGGAAAGATGGCAGTGGTGTGGGAGGAGCTGCTGCAGTTTTACAATAAGGATGAGAAACTACAGCTGATGGATACAGTTTTATGTTAAGAATTTCTCTCAGTATTTATCATTCAGGTATGATTGACATAAGTGCTTTGAGTGTCCAGAAGCTTCAGTCATCACACAGGGTGTGATGAAATGGAGCTTTATCTTTTGCTGACAGAAGACCTGACAAATTGAATGTAGCTACCGGTATCTCTAGTGGAAATGTCTTGAGAATTAAGAATATAGGAGCTGGAACCCAAAGCATAAAATAGAAAGGTGAATCATAGAAACTGGACGTCTTCTGTGGTTAGCCATTTTGGCTATTTACAAAAGCTGCCAATTTAATTTAGAGGATACTGTGAGGCCTAGCACATGGCTGTCAATATGACATCCTTAGCTTGTCTCTTTGTCTGTCATAGGGATTTGAAAATTCAGGTTCATGCTGTCTCTGTGCAGATGTATGTGTTGAAATTCAAATGGTATAAGTGGAGAAGTCAGTAACAGAAGTGGGAGAAAATATGTTGAAAATCTTATATTTTTTGAAAAGCAGATTGATGAGAAATCTTAATTTTTAGTAACGTAGGTTAGCTTGAAACTAAATAAACCACATCCTATTTTCTGCAGGTGGTTATGTATTTGTTAGGTCTAAGCAGGTATGTGACTTGAACTCCTCTGAAGATATATGCTCAGCTTTGGGCTTACTTCCTGGTGTCTTGTTATTGAAGTGTAATGCATATAGATGCTTGGTGTCACAGTTTCTAAAGTCATCACAAAATTTCTTTCACCCTCCTAGTATTGGGAGACGTTTCAACTTATTGGAAAGAAATATCATGGTTCTTTCTGAGCATTGGCTTCCTTTTCATACAAGCAACTTGAACTTTGAGTGATCACAGTAGGAGGAAAAATGATTTTGTAAGGCCAGGCAAAAAGAAGTAGTTGTCCATGAGAATCTATTGAGGTGGAGTCCATGCTGTGAAAAAAGTCCAAAAGAGCTACCAAGCTGAATACACAGTGTGAAATGGAAGTGTATTTGAATAGAGTGACTGAACTTACTTGGTGGAAAAAGACATTCCCAAGACATAATTGTATGTAGTGAGGATGGCAGTATTGAGTCCCTGTAGAACTTTGTCACCTCTGCTTATTACCCCTTCAGTCCTTCAGTAATAGCTTGCATTTGGAGGAAAAAATCCACAGAAGTAGGTAGCAGGAGTGTTGGGGACTGCTGCCCTCTGTTCTGCATTATTGTGTTACTGTTCCTTCATCTGCCTTTGCAGTTAATATGAGGTCTTCATGCTCTTTTCCTTTTTGTGGCTTATGGGAATAAACAGGATAAGCACTAGTGTGTTCCTCTGCTATGGAGAGAACCCAGTGTGAAATTTCCAAGGAAAGGAGGCGAGTGTGACTATGCTACGACTTGCTGAAGGCTTTTTTGCACTTTGGGCCATTTTTGCACTGTCAGTTTGACCTCTAGATTGAAATTTTAATTTGTAGTCTGAGGCAGGTATTTAGACAGCTGTTTTCTTACAGTCTAATAAAGAGAGTATTGAGTAATGTGAGAATTTATTTTATTTTTTTGGCTGTTAATTCTGAAAATGGGAATTATAAAGAAAGTTCGGTGCTGTATGACTTGGTTGCATTTCATGTTGCTTTGATTTTAACCCCAGAGTTGAAAGTCAAATTAATTTAATAGCTACTCGACCTTATTATATAGTCCCAAATCAGATCATTAGTGAAATTACATGAAGCTAAAAAGGTAATAGGAAAGTAGATTTCCCAACTGATAATCTTCCTTTCCAGCATGCATCAATGCTGAGGCACTTTGATAGAGCCTAAGAAATGTGCTACTAACTATCTGTTGTGGATACAGTTTTTCAGAGCTGGGGAAGTACTCTGTTTTGAGGTTCTTCCATCTTTTTTCTTATGTTGTAGTGATTGTCTTCATTTAAAGGACCTTGTCTTCAGGTTTAGGATTGTGATATTACCCCAGAATTTTCCATATCTCTTTTACGTACTTTCTCCTTTGTTTTCTTCTATAACCATTTGGGCATGGCTACAGCTTTTGTTCATTTTGGTTTTGTTTATTTTTAATTTTAGACACCAGATGTTCCTATGACTTGCATTTTCTTTTATAGATGAGTAACGTTTTTGCATTAATTTTTGCATCAATTTGGTTAAACCAGATGATTAATGTCCTAGCTGTACTTAGTCGCTTCCTAAGGCAGAGCAAATCCTAGCTTTTCTGTTGGCTTTTGCAAGTAGAGTCACAGGAATCTTTTTTATTTAGGACCAAATCTTTCTTATATGAGAAAACACCCTTCTATATTGAAATATTTTTCTCCATGGAGCAGAGACTCAGAGGCTTTTTAAAAAGAAGTAGTTTGTTTATCAACAGTGATTTATCTTAATGTTTTATGCATCATTTTAAAAATTGTCCCTGTTGGTTCAGAGACAAGGAAGAATGGTCTTATGAAAAATTAAATTTGCACCAAAAAATATGTGAATTACTGCAAGATAGTTTATCAGCATTCGTTGCAGTCTATAAAATTGATTTTTTTTTTCTACTGCTTTTCTACTTCATATGGCCTCTGGGACACTTTGACATATGCAGATGACCAAATTTGGCAAAAGGTATCCTTTTTTGTTCAAAGCCTTATAATGTTTTTCTTGTTTCATTCTATATGCTGGGTTCTGGGGAAGGACAGTAGAGCAAAGAGGCAAGGAGAATACAGTCCTTGCTGTCTTGGCTATTGGAGCCCTTCCTGAATAAGCACAGGCTGTTCTGATTTAAGCAGCTGATATATCAGATACATCTCACAGAGGTAATGCTGCTCTGTGAAATATGAAATATTTTACATATATGTGAATTAGCAGGAACCTAAATCAAAGCTAACTTTGCAGTATTTAAGTAAGGTTTTCATAAACAATTGAAACTGACTATTGGAGCAAGAGTGACCTTGTTATCTTCAAACCACCAGTGTGCTGAATTCCTGGAGTAAATGCTTCCAAAGGCATGGATAGAGAGTGGATGGCCAGAAAGCATTGGAAGGAGCATCTGAAATGGCTGACCTGAACTTCTAACCTTAGAAACCATTAGGAAATTTGCCAGCTTATTGTAATTCTTTTTGTAACCTCCTATCTTTGAACAGACGTGTATGGGTTCCACTGTTCTCCTGTTGCTCCTGACAGTTCAGTGGCACTTGTATTTCCAGTTGTTGCCTCATTGACATATGTGGACAGAAACTGCTGAAAAGTGGTGCTGCTAACTACACAAATGACTACTAAATAAAAACACCCTCTAAACTGAAGAGCAGTATTTCATTTTTAGGCTTTCATTTCTACTTTCAATATATACCTTGCAATTAAAAGAAAAGAAGAAATTTCTGATTTTGTAGTTTCTTAAATTAATGTCACTTGTGAAGTGAGCTTTCAGCTCAACATCTGACTGTGCTCTTTTTGGTCAACCAGTGGTTTGTGATCCAGGTAAAAAGCAGCAGTGACTAAGAACAGTGGGAATTTGAACTGCTAGTGTAATTTTTGACTCATTTTTGAGAAGTGGATTTTATTATTTCTCCTGTAGTGCTTTTATGTATTTTACTTAGTGTGTTTCAGTGTGCTTACCAGAAATCCCACTTTCATAATACTAACAGAGTCTTTTATTAGGACTCTGTTTTAAAAACTACCAACACTGAGATTGTTTCTTTAGTATTTTTTTTTTGCATTGCTTAATACAATTTTTTGTAGGTCTTTGATGCAAGCAAAAAAGATAGCTGACACATGAGAACCTGGTGAAATTACAAAGGATAAAGTGAAGTCATTTTACCAGCTGAAAAAGACAATCTTAACACATCAACACAAATTCCTTGAACTGCCTCATCAATTTTTTTTCAAGAAGCCTAGTCTGTCCTCGCTCTCTCCCCATGTAGGCTAGGCCTACTGTGTTTCCTTATCTGCTTCATTCTTTGTCAAGCACTGCCAACACACACTCTGAGGCTGGCCTGGGCTTCCTGCTGAAAGGAATGTCCTTGAGCATATCATGAAATTTTGACAGTGTTTAACCAGGCCAAGAGCTAAAATAATTTCCTTTGATACAGAATGACCTGTGAATAGTATTGTAGCCCTGGAGGTCAGAGCTGAACCTGTTGCCATTTTGGTGGAATTTTTGAGCTTTGCTGTTTGTGCCCTTAGCTTATTACATGTTTAAATTCATATTGCAAAGATACTTACCAGTTTCTCCATCTGGTTCGCAAAATGAAATTGTTTTGTGCAGTTCACAATGTGGGTAGCAGGCCAATTGTGAGTAAAATTAAAATTTCTGCCCTTTTTTTTCCCCCATGGATTACAGCTACATAGCTGTTTATCTGTTTTCTTCTATTGATATGCTTTGAACTGTATTTTTAGGGGTTAGGTTTTTAAAATTTACCACTCTAAGAAAATGCAGTAATCTGTTTGTTAAAGAGTATCCAATTGATTTTTTTTGCTCCTTGTGCTTATCCAGCAGCTGGTTGTGTCATTTCCACAGCACTATGGGTACTGTATACAGCACATAGGCAGTTGTGTCTGTACATAAAGGAAGTTCTCCTTATAGATAGATTTTTTTTTTCAGAATTTGGCTTAGATTGTGCCTCAGATCTTGTTTAAATTAAAAGATCTCTATATCCAAATAAACATTGTAGCTATGCAATTCGTAAGGGGAATAATTTGCTATAAAACTTCTTACCCCAAAAAGGAGGCCCAGTTTCTGATAAAAAGGATGCATAGTATATTCTGATTCATTAGGTGTAATATGCTTTCAGGAGTTCTATTTCCCTCCCAAAATTTACTGTAGACACTTCCTAAACTTCTGTATTACATGTACAGCATCTAAACACTTAAGCTCTCTGTGCAGAGTTCACAATGGATCCATTGAGAACTATGCTTTTCATATCTACAGTTTATTATTGCTGCTAATTCCTTGTAACTGTAATGCTTTTCTAATGTGCCAAGAAAGAAGTATTTTTCCCCAATTCTGGTTAGTTATTTTCTGCATAGTAGCATTTTCTCATAAACTAGTGTAGAATCATAGAATCAAGGAAATGTTTGGTTTGGAAAAGATCTCTAGGAGCCCCAGTTATTAAGCTTGCACTGCTTTGTTGCCACTAAACTGTGTCCCCAAGTGCCACATGTTCTTTGAACACTGCAAGGGATGCTGTTTCCACTACTTGCCTGGACAATTTATTGTAGTGCCTGACCACTCTCACAGTGAAGAAATTTTTCTTGGTATGCACTCTAAACTTCCCCATGTGGCCATTTCTTGTCCTGTTGCTTGTTTCCTGGGAGAAGAAACTGATGCCTACCTCACTACAATCTCCTTTTAGGCAGTTGCAGAGAGAGATGAGGTCCCCCCAGAGCTCCTTTTCTCCAGGCTGGACAACCCCATGTCCCTCAGGACTTGTGCTCCTGCTCATCACCATGTGCACCTTTTGGAAATATGCATTCCATAGAAGCCATTGGCAGAATTGGTGCCTAGTTTTTCAAGCTAGGTTTCTTCTTTAAGAGGGTCTCTGAAACTTAAGGCATTCTTACTGAAATTTCCCGCTGAAGTTGATGTCTTCATTTATACCACACAACCCTAAAGATACCAGATTTATTAGTTGTATTGTTTGAGAATGCACCAAAGAGAGTTTCAGCCAGTGCTGTGTAGATAACACTGAAATGTTAAGTCTTCTGCCGTAGTGCTGATATACCGAGGAAAGAATTTGTGCTAAAGAGAAAAGTTATTTATTGGTTTTAATTAAATAGCACATAATCTTGTCAAACACATTTCCATTGAGTAATGAATTTCACAAAAGTAATTTAGGAAAAGTATCTTGCACAGAACCTGTGGCTCCTTAACATTCTGTCACATATACATTATAAAAATTGCAAACTACTGCAGCATGAACCTTTGTGTCTGATTCACGACTTTACATTACACTTTATCTTCCAGAAATACTGCCTGATGCTATTACTTATGCTGTAGCTATCCCACTCTGCCTGATAATCATGGAAGGGACTTCTGTTTTCAAGATTGTTGTCTGCTCCTCTGCATGCACTAGAGCAAAATTAGTCAGTTGGAATAGTTGGGTGATTTTGCAGATACAAAGAAACCCTGAAACTTTGATCCATTACGATAATAAAGGGGATGTTTATTACCACGTGATCTTTTCAGCTATCTCAGCAGGACAGAATATATTAGGGGAAAAAAGGTTTTTCTTGTATATGTGTCATTTTGTTATTTAAAGAGATGCCATAATTCTGAAATAAGTGCATTTGATGTCATGAATTTTACAAATACTGAGGCAGAGTAAGAGGATTCTATGAAATTGTCCTCTTCATTTTGGTAAGTAGATGTGAATGGAATGTGAGGGGAAAGCTATACTGCCCACAATCTCTTCTAAGTTAGAGCTCTGGTTAGTGAAACCCCATTTCCAATAGGAACTGCAGGAGGATTGTCTTCAAGGGCTAACTGACATGGAGCAGTTGTATGATGAAGGATGAAGGACATTCATTGATACAGCGTTTATGGCCAAAAAGTACATTTTCATGATTGTTGTATTCTGTCAGAGGCATTACTGATTTTAGTTCAAGGTCTGTATGTGTTTGTGAACCTATGCAGATGAACTCTGACTTTACTCTCTTTATTACAGATGATGAACCAGAACCTGCTGATGGAAAAATTATGTTCAGGAAACCAGCCAAACGTTCATCAGAGAAGTGTTTGGACTTCAATGTAAGTTCAAGTAAGAAGATGAAAGAAGCAAAGAAAACTAAGAGAGAAGCAACTACTTCTGAGAGTACAGCTAAGCAAGTAAAAAACAGCAGTCTTCTCTCATTTGATGATGAGGAAAATGATGATTAGGACTTGTAGTTTTTTATGCTTTACTTGCTTGTATAGAGACCTGGATTGAGGGCTTTCATAGGAATTGAAGCATGGTGTCTGAGTCTTTTACTTTGTTATAGTCCAACTAGAGAAATAATGTATAAAATTAGCATGAGCTAAGTCTGCAGTTAGTTGGAACTGTATGTCATGTCTTAATTTTAAAAGAGAATTTAACCGCGTACGTAAAAGCTGTTTGAGTTCACAAATGAGTAGCAAATGATACCTGTACATATTTAGCTTTCAAATTTGCAGTCAATTTTAAGATGCCCTCCATTACTAAAATGTATTTCCTCTATATTGAATAGTCTTTGTTGACAATTGTGGTTTTTACCTGTTATTATTGACATTCAAAAGAGAGACACTTCATTACTGTGAAACAGACTTTCTGTCTCACAGCTTAACAAAAGTTTGCACAACCTTTGCATTTGTGATTTGCAAGATTAGCTCTTGCAGAGCATTGCAGTAAATGAGGCTGCACTTGCTAAATTCATGTAGTCTTGATCCTATCTTTAGTGAATGCAATCTAAGAAACATCAAATTCATTTGAACTGGTTGTAATAGCAAGGTATAAAGATATTGATTCTAGTTGGTGGTATCAACTAATGCAAAAGAAGCCTAAACCATTGGAGATTGTGCACTTTGGTTTTGACACTGATGGGCTCAGTGGTTTGATGGTGTTTTGGGGTTTTTTTTAAGTATATTTGTTCCAGTTAACTACTTACGTGTTCATAATTATTCATAATCAGACAGCTTGTTCAAAAACTCTTATTTCATCTTAAGGTGTGGAAAAGCATTAATTTAGTATTCTTCAAGTAGGGGGGAAGTTGTAAACAGGGAATTTAAGCCAAGGAACACTATAGCTGTGTGTATCTTGGTTTAAGACAGTTTCTGGGGCAGACACTCTGGAATTAGTTACTGCCCCTTTTAGTTTGAACTGCTTCCCTTTCACCGATTAGCAGAGATGAAAGCAAGAACATATAAGTGAAAAAATAAAAGTTTACTAAAAAATGAAACAGCAACAGACAGGATAACAGTAATCATCACTAGATAGAAAGATGCTGAATCCTATGGACTGCTTGGGAGCACAGAAGACAAGATGGCAGAGAAACCCCTCCCCAGAAATGTTGGTCTCTACAGAAGACCATGTGGTTCAGGGGACAAAGACAAGCTGATGGAGAAGCCTCTTCTCCTGACCATGTGTTGGAGAGAGAACAAAGGGAAAAAAACCACCACAGCATCTGAAACTCTGTGATTATGAAAGTCCCTCTTCTGCAAACAACAACCAACAAAGAACAAGGACAAAACAAAAAGAAACCTGGATTCCAAAACCTGTCAAATGCTGCTGATCTGCTTGCTCCACATCACCGGAGAGGGTCTCTGTCCCGGCAGCTGCAGCAGCTCCATCAACAGTGGTGGCTGGAACTGGTCAGTGGCTGGAACTCATGAAGGGACTTGGGCTCCTCCTCAGCAGTAGATGACAGGCAGATGCCTGGGCAGCTCAGGCTCCACACCCTCCCACAGCAGCTGAGCACTGCTGGGGGGCTGGTGTGACTGGGTGGAGCAGGGGCGGTTCAATTTTTCCCATTGTGGTGCCATGGCTGGCCATCCTGGGTGGCAGCAATGAAAAAGCAAGGAAAAAAGGTCTGTAGAGAAAGTCCTCCCTGGCCCAGAGGCCAAAACAAAGGGGAGCTTCTGCCTTGCACTGCCTCAACTTCTCAGTAGCTAGCGGGAATGAAAGAGGCACAGGCAACAGTGAGTGTTGTCTCATTTTAAAGGGATCCTGGCATCTTCTGCCTCCATGAACCTGGAGCAAGACCCTCTGGTTCTGCTTCTGACCAACAGGTCCTAGAGGGAGAGTAACAATCTTGGGCAGATGGGCATAGAAAGTCCCATTTCAGCATCTTTCTGTAACAGGACAGAAGTGACACTGAGAGCTGGTGGGATTTGGGAGAACAATGTGCTAAGAATGTCACTTGTGACTGAAGTTATTTGGAAGTATGGTGTATTCTGTAACTATATGAAACCAGTTCTGCTGAGTGACAGGACATTTGAAATTATTTGGCCTGTAAAGCTTCATCAAGGAGCAAATTTCAAGTTGCTGTGTAAAACAGCTGGCTTTAGTTTGTTCATCTGGTAAACAATAAATTATATTTTCTTTTAAGTGGTCCAAAGATATTTTAATAAAAATTTCAGTACATGAAATTAGGGGTTTTTTTGCCTCCTGATATTGGAACTTCCTGTACCTGCCTGTCTCCCTACACACCAGCTTCCTGCAGCATAACATCAGATGCAAGTCTGCACACTGTTTTGCACTGTTTGTGTGAGTACATGTTACCCTGATTTTGAAAATCAATAGATTGTTATCCTTTCAGAAAATTGAAACCAGACCTATAAATGGATATTAAATTCTTGTTGCACTGCTTTCATATTAGAATTGTGAGAGAGGTGCTGTGTGACCACCTGATTTTTCCCATGAGGACATGCTACATTTGTAAATACATAATTTGTCTGTATTCTCTACATATAAAAGAAAAAAAATTAAAGAAAAAGTACAGAGCCAAAAGTTCCCAGGAATTAGTATTTCCATCTATTTTGTATACTTAAAACTTGTTTGAATCCATTAAAAATATATACCAATACATACATACATGCCCATGAGTAATCTTGTAGCATTCCAGCATACAAAAGGAATATTTGGGCATATGTCAAAAATGGAGTAAATACTTTGACTTGCTGAGACTCATCTGAAAGAATGAATTAACCATTGGCTGCTTGCTTAAACTTTTCTGGTTCTATTTGTCAGTACAGAAATGTATTTGCATACATTTTTGTTGCACAACCTGGAAGTTCATAACTTGAGCTGTGAGGCAATTTAGGAGACATGGCTATCGAGATAAATGCTTGCCAAGGACCAGAGGGCATTTGGTTTTACCTTAAAATCAGAGAATCCCTCACAAATATGCAGTTGATCTGGCCTGTTCAAAATAAGTTTGAGATATTGTTTGGTTCTGGACAGTAATTGCATTTAAACAAAATGGACAAAAATTTACCATTTTTAGTGAAAGACTTGGGAGACTGCAGTCCAGTAAAGGGAGGGTTACTTAAAGTATTGAGTGCAGTACTTTTACTTATTGAGTGTGGTACTTCTGGTTAATCATGCTTCTTGCTCTACAGCCTCATGACAGATGTCTGGAATGCAAATAAATTGATTGGGTTTGCTTGGAAATAATACATTAAAAGGTATGTTGTTGTTTAGGCAACATAGCAGGGGGGGAAAAGGTGGATACGGAAACCCAGTTTCTTTCCTTTATTCCAACTGATTTGTAGTGCTCTGACCAGGAGGAGGCCTTTGTATTCATTGTATTTCACTCCCAGTTCACCCAACAATAACTAATGGAATAGATTTATTAAGAGGTGTGAGTGATGCACAAAAGCATTTTAATCAGGTAGTCATGTGAAAATTCAGTGTTTTTACCATGACACACCAGGAAAATCACACACACTATCAACTCCCATGAAACCTGTGGTTAAAGAGAACAATTACTTGTTCATTTAGGAAAGAAATGTGAAACTCTTGAGCAATCACCTCTTCTAATGGGCCATGGGAAAATAATAATCACAACTTCCATATAAAGGAAGCCAAAGCTAGGTACATGGAACATGAGGCTAGGACAGGAAAGGACAATTTTCCTGGGTTTTCTTTTGCTCTTGCTCTTGCTTGTCCCCTTTCCCTGTCCCTTTCCCCTCCTGTAGTGGAGAATGTATATGCCTTTATCGTTTCATGGAGTTTGCCGAGTTAAATGTGAGAGCAGTGCTGGAGAAGCAAGGTGAGAATAGCTGAGGCTTGTTACCCATTACAGGAATCTTGGTCAGATGTGGCCTATTACCTCATATGGGAATCTTGTACTGTTTCTATTAATAAAATTTCCCAGTTCATTAAGACAAAAACATTTATTGATGGTATTAGCTGAGCACTGAGGTGCAACAAATCTGGTGAACTGTAGTAGCATTGCAGCAGCAGATGCTTATAATGGAGGCTTTTTACACTGCAAAGGTTCTTGGATGTAGTAGGAGAGGTGAGATGCTCTGTCACCTGAATTTCTTTTGAAGAACCAGGATTTTTCTCTAAATTATAGAAAGCAAGGTGAATCATCAAGAATGCTGCATTCTTGATAGAATAAACAAGAAAATGCACATGTGGGCAGGTGGCCCATGAGTTCATACCTTTGATTGTATTTCTGAAATGAAAGCAAATTTGTTGTACTGAAAAAGTTCACCTCATTGGCCTAAAGAGGAAGGGATGAGTCAGAATTATATTCTGATAGTTTTTTGTCCAGCACTTTTCCCAGAAATATCATTTGGAGGATCAAAGGCTGTGTTTTGCAGAGACTGAGGACAAGAAGCCTGTATTTAGCGGTTTTAATTACACATTTTTAAGTTTCATCATAGGACTTAATGTCCTTTTTTACAGTGCTTCAGTATATAATCCTGTTAGGAAGCTGCAGATTTAAAATGAAGCAGGAAGCAGCAATGTCATCGTTTCAGCTGATTGTCTCCCTTATGCTGTAGTGTATTAACTAAGTAATGCTTCACTTGGCTGTGCAGAGCCAGCTGCCTTCTCAAGGACATCAGGCTTGCCTGCAGATGAATCATTACCTTTTGTGGAGCAAAAGAGGTATGATGTGCAGCCTCAGCAAGTGTTGTCTGTTGTAGCGTGCTTTTATACTTTGTAGTAGTTTTGGTTTTGTATCCCCTTATTTTCCCAAATGGTGTACCCCTTTTTGTACCCCCTTCCTCTACCTGTGCAATCATTCTCCTCTATTGAGATCATCCCCAAATCCCCACCCTGGCTCTCTGTCAGTCACTCAGCATCCCATCCCCTCTATCTAGAACTCTTGGTGAAAGTCATCGAGTGATTAGTCCGAGGCCACTGTCCCAGGACCCCCCTCTTTCCTGCTCTACAGTTGGATTGGTAAGTTTGCCTTTTTCTTGTATTTTTTATACCTCGCGGGGACAGGGAGTTTTTTCTCTATTTTTGGCAGGCTGCCAGTTGCAGGCCTTTGTTTCTTTTCTCCCCCCACCCTTTACCTGGGTCGGTGAAAGTTTATGAGATACAAAACTTTACATCACAGCCACAATGGGTGTCAGGCTTTCTGTGTCCCACAATGGTCTTTATTATAATTTGTTAGATTTACTTAAGGGTAAAGGAGTCGGATTTTCAAAAAGAGAGGTGAAACAATTTGTTAGATGGCTGTTTCTTCACTTCCCTCATGTATCAGCTGAAAATATCCGTGTTTTAACATTTTGGGACAAAATTGGCAATGAGTTACTGAAAGCAGGGAAGTCTGGTGATAAATCTTTGCAAAAATTTGCTTTTCTAGCTATGCAAATCAGAAATGTTGTAAAATCCAAATCAGAAATGCAGGAACAGCCATCAGGAAGCAATTTCAATGTCTCTTCTTCCCAAAAACCTGATTTAGCCCCCACCAAGCTATTTTCTCCCTCTGTTACCCCTCCTTCCTCCCTCTCAGCCCCCAGACAGGGCCCTCTGAGGAATGCTGCACTTTCCAGCTTATCTCAGAAGTTCCCAGCCCCCAGCCTGGAGAGTTCTGGCCACCCTCCCCTGCACTTCCCCGGGTTGCAATGCCCCGTCCCAAAGACCTTCAGTTCATTTTGAGCCTCCCATTTCACCTCCGGAGACTCCCCCACAAGTTTCTGACAGTGGAAACCACATGGTATTTCCAGTTTTTTCTCATTCTTCTCCCCACAATCCCTTTCTCCCCTCTAACCCTTTCCGGTCAGAAACCCCCTCCCCTGAAACCTTCCCTCCCAGCGCCCTCCCCGCTTCTCCGGCACCACGCCCCGCCACCCCCTCAGGGGCTGGCCCACCAGCTGTCCCCTCCCTTTGTCCTTCCCACTCCCCACCCAGCTGTCCTTCCCAGAGCCCGCCCTCCAGATGGGGAGGGAGCAGGGCCGGGGAGCCGGGACCGGGAAACAACAGCTGTCATCTCTGCAGCTCCGGGCACATACATGTCAGACCTGAATGGGGGAATTCAACCGCATTGGACCCCGTTCTCTTTTCAATCCACCAAAGAGCTAGTCAAGGCTCAGAAAGAATTTGGTAGAGACAGTGAATATTTCAGAGGACTTCTCAAATCTACCCTTTCTTCTGATTTAACCCCTGCTGATATTAAACAGCTTTTTTCCTGCCTGCTAACTCAAAAGGAGTACCTCTTGTGGGAGGCGGCATGGAAAAAAAGAAGTGACAGCCAATTTGCCAATTCTATGGGGTGATGAGACTGCCACTGATGTTTTTGGAAAGTTGATATCATTAGACCATTTATGTAGAGAAAGAGAGTGGGGTGATGGAGCAAGTCAGGCAGAAAGCGTTCCCAGGAAAGCTCTCAAAGAAAGTGTTAAAGCAGCTGAGAAGGCTTTCTTCCGGTTGCGTCCTGATGCTCCAATTGATAATTATTTGAAAATAACACAATCTCCATTTGAGTCTTTCATGAGTTTTGTGGAAAGGTTGAGAAAAACTGTGGACTTGCAAGTTCAAATGAAGGAGCAAGGCTGGAAGCCCTCACCAAGATTGCAAAGCAAAATGCCAATGAAAAGTGTAAAGCTGCCATCCTGAGCCTGCCCCTCGATCCAACACCAACACTACAAGGTGTTAGAAGTCTGTGCCCTGAAAGTTACCAACACCTCTGCTGATCAAGACGAGAAACCGAAACCAACAAGGAGGATTGCAGCTGCAGACGTCCCCCAGCCATCTGATCCAGCACCCACCAGCCAGCTTCAACGCGTCACAATGAAACAGGGAAAAATCTTCAACTCTAACCATCCCTGCCATCTTTGTGGGAGATTAGGGCATTGGACGCCCAACTGCCCTCTGAAAAAGGAGTTTTTTGATTTTAAATATAGTAACCATAAAAATCAGAATTCCCCAAAAGAGAACCTTCCAAAAAACTGAATCAAGAGCGCCCATTATCCCAGCACTATGACAAAAATAGGGTAGGTTCAATTCCAGCACAGGGGGAAACAAAAAACCAATTTTGAGAGAACTACCTGTGCCAAATCAGACACTTGCATTGGACATGACAAAACATTCATTTCACTGTGATAATCCTGTGCCAATTCTAACCACCAATTCTTCCTGTAACCCTTTCAGTTTGGTACTGACAGAGCCTCTCCATCTCAAGAACAGTGACTGGCATTTTACAACTGTTAACCCTGAACAACCAGGTACTTGGACACAGCTTTGCCGAAATCGTAACAGTAAGTATGTCATAGTTGGGGATTCAAAACACACACCCCAGGAAATTAACATCTTCCACATTCCCCTGCATCCTGATGATGCCCCGCGTTTTGCCTTCTCGGTTCCCACCATTAACCGAGAAGCCCCAATGAAGAGATACCACTGGACGGTACTCCCACAAGGACTCAAAGTCAGGCCAGGGATTTGCCAGAGGTATGTCTCTTCATTGCTATCCCCGGTCCATGTTAGCTGCAGGAGATTCTATCATCCTGCACTACATGGATGACATCCTGGTGTGTGCCCCAACTGATGACATGCTTACTCAAACACTTGACCTGACAATCAATGCATTGGTTGCTGCTGGGTTTGAGCTCCAGGAAGAAAAAATTCAAAAGATGCCACCTTGGAAGTACCTGGGTCAGGAAATTGGAAAGCGGACTATTGTGCCGCAAAAATTAGCCATCAAGAATAACATCAAAACCTTAGCAGATATCCATCAACTGTGTGGGTCTTTAAACTGGGTGAGACCTTGGCTAGGCATTCCCACTGAGGACCTAGCCCCCCTTTTCAATTTGTTAAAAGGGGAGATGACCTTAGTTCTCTTAGGCGAGAACTGCACTGGAGAAAGTCCAGGAGACAATGTCTGCCAGGCACACCCAGAGGGCAGGGCCTGCCCTTCAAGTTCATCATCTTGGGTAAGCTGCCACACCTTCATGGGATGATCTTTCAGTGGGAAACTGCCCAGGCAGGGAAAAGTGACCAGGACAAGAACGACCCACTCTTAATCATAGAATGGGTCTTTCTCAGTCACATCAGGTCCAAAAGGATGACAAGGCCACAGGAGCTAGTGGCAGAACTAATCAGGAAGGAAAGGATTCAGATCAGGGAATTGGCAGGGTGTGACTTTGAGTGCATCCACATCTCCTTACAACTGAAATCAGGCCAATTAACTAAAGTAATGTTAGAACAATTTCTCCAAGAGAATGAAGCCCTGCAATTTGCACTGGACAACTACACAAGCCAAATTTCGATCCATT